GGTGAACACGGTCAGGCATGGACCATTCGCGACTGGCAGCATCAAGGATACCAACGCATTCTGTCTCGAAGGGAGTCCTTCACTACACATCATGCCCGTGATCAAGCACTTGGAGATGTGCAGAATTCCGATGCAATTCCTGTTGAGGAAATGTTCACCTATGCCACTCCTATTTCTGACGGTGATCGCTCGACTGCTTCGCAATTCGCTTCAGTCGTCTATGGCGACACTCGTAATGCTCGTTGTGGTGATCTTTCGTTCCCGTCTTCTGAGAGGTTTAGGGCTGTTTCGCGTTCCCCTCGCCGCGGTGGATATTTTGGTCGACGATGGGGACACGAAGTTGAGCGTGTGATCTTCCTGCAGAAAAAGAGACTTCTCGCCCCTCATTGAGGGGCGTGTGTGTGCGGAGTGACAGAATACCCTGTCACCACCATGTGCCGGTTTTGGGAGCAGGGGGGCTGTCCACTGCATGGAAGTGACGGCCCAACGAAGAGGCTTCCATCAGTGCTGATATGGATTCTGGACGCAGAATCCACGTACCTGCAGTGATGAGAAATGTCCTTTTGGTCCCTCCCCTGAACCGCTGTTGCTTCTCTGTCTCCCTGTTGAAGTAGCTAGAGTGAAGCCAAGTGACCTGCCAGCCGATCCAGTTGTACTCGAGACTCATCAGTTGTACTCGAGACTCATCAGTTGTACTCGAAAGATTAGCACTCTCCATTTGGAGTTTAAGTGTGTGTGTGTGTGTGTGGGTGTGTGCGTGTGTTGCGTGTTGCGTGTTGCGTGTTGCGTGTTGCGTGTTGCGTGCTGCGTGCTGCGTGCTGCGTGCTGCGTGCTGCGTGTTGCGTGTTGTGTGTTGTGTGTTGTGTGTTGTGTGTTGTGTGTTGTGCGTTGTGTGTTGTGTGTTGTGTGTTGTGTGTTGTGTGTTGTGTGTGGTGTGTTGTGTGTGGTGTTGTGTGTTGTGTGTTGTGTGTGGTGTGTTGTGTGTTGTGTGTGGTGTTGTGTGTTGTGTGTTGTGTGTTGTGTGTTGTGTGTCGTGTGTCGTGTCGTGTTGTGTGTTGTGTTGTTGCGTTGCGTTGCGTTGCGTTGCGTTGCGTTGCGTTGTGCTGCGTTGTGTTGTGTTGTGTTGTGTTGTTTCTGTTGTGTGTGTGTGTTGTGTCGTGTTGTGTCGCGTCGTGTCGTGTCGTGTCGTGTCGTGTTGTGTTGTGTTGTGTTGTGTTGTGTTTGTGTTGCGTCGAGTCGTGTCGTGTCGTGTCCTGTCTTGTCGTGTCGTGTCGTGTCGCGTCGGGTCGGGTCGGGTCGTGTCGTGTCGTGTCGTGTCGTGTCGTGTCCTGTCGTGTCGTGTTGTGTGTTGTGTTGTGTTGTGTTGTGTTGTGTTGTGTTGTGTTGTTTCTGTGTGTGTGTGTGTGCGTGTTCGTGTGCGTGTGCGTGTGCGTGCGCGTGCGCGTGCGCGTGTGCGTGTGCGTGCGCGTGCGTGCGCGTAGGCGTTGGCGTGTGTGGGTGTCGGTGTGTGTGGGTGTCGGTGTGTGTGTGTGTGTGTGTGTGTGTGTGTGTGTGTGTGTGTGTGTGTGTGTGTGTGTGTGTGTGTGTGTGTGTGTGTGTGTGTGTGTGTGTGTGTGTGTGTGTGTGTGTGTGTGTGTGTGTGTGTGTGTGTGTGTGTGTGTGTGTGTGTGTGTGTGTGTGTGTGTGTGTGTGTGTGTGTGTGTGTGTGTGTGTGTGTGTGTGTGTGTGTGTGTGTGTGTGTGTGTGTGTGTGTGTGTGTGTGTGTGTGTGTGTGTGTGTGTGTGTGTGTGTGTGTGTGTGTGTGTGTGTGTGTGTGTGTGTGTGTGTGTGTGTGTGTGTGTGTGTGTGTGTGTGTGTGTGTGTGTGTGTGTGTGTGTGTGTGTGTGTGTGTGTGTGTGTGTGTGTGTGTGTGTGTGTGTGTGTGTGTGTGTGTGTGTGTGTGTGTGTGTGTGTGTGTGTGTGTGTGTGTGTGTGTGTGTGTGTGTGTGTGTGTGTGTGTGTGTGTGTGTGTGTGTGTGTGTGTCTGTGTGTGTGTGTCTGTGTCTGTGTGTGTCTGTGTCTGTGTGTGTGTGTGTCTGTGTCTGTGTGTGTCTGTGTGTGTGTGGGTGGGTGGGTGCGTGCGTGCGTGCGTGCGTGGGTGGGTGTGTGTGTGTGTGTGTGTCTGTGTATATGTGTGTGTGTGTGGGTGCGTGCGTGCGTGCGTGCGTGCGTGCGTTCGTGCGTGCGTGGGTGGGTGGGTGGGTGAGTGGGTGGGTGTGTGTGTGTGCGCGTGGCTTGTGATTGTTTGCGCTTGTTTCTTTGCCTGCTTGCTTGCTTGCTTGCTGCTTGCTTGCTTGCTTGCTTGCTTCTTGCCTGCTTGCTTGATTGCTTGTTTGGTTCTTTTTTTGTTTGTCTGTCTGCCTTTTTGTTTGTGTGTTTGTTGTGCTTTGTGCTGTTGTGTTTTGTTTGGTTTGGTCTGGTTTGGTTTTGTTGTGTTGCGTTTTGTTTGCTTTAGTTTGGTTTGCTTTTTGCTTGTTTGTGTGTGTGTGTGCGCGTTTGTGTTTATGGGTTTGTGTTGCTGTGTTTGTCAGTTTGTCAGTTTGTCAGTTTGTCAGTTTGTCAGTCTGTCTGTCTGTCTGTCTGTCTGTCTGTCTGTCTGTCTGTCTGTCTGTCTGTCTCTCTGTCTCTCTGTCTCTCTGTCTCTCTGTCTCTCTGTCTCTCTGTCTCTCTGTCTCTCTGTCTCTCTGTCTCTCTGTCTCTCTGTCTCTCTGTCTGTCAGTCTATGTCTCTGTCTCTATCTGAGTCTGTGTCTATCTGTGTCCGTCTGTTTGTCTGTCTGCTTGTTTGTTTGCCTGTGTTTTGGTTTGTGTTTGTGATCTTGTCAGTCAGCGACTTGATATGCTCGTCATTGCTTCGTTTGTCCGCTACTTTGACACATGCTTGTTTACTGCGATAGTTGTCGCCCGTTTCATGAATGGGAATAACTAGTTTGCGAATCAGCTTGGTAGTCAGCCATTGGTTGAGCAAACCCTTCTGCCGCCACAATGGAGATGTCTTTCCCTGTGCCTCCACTATCCATGACGAGGGGTCGCATTCTGGGCCCTCGATCCTGCAAAGCTTTGCGCTGCTTTGGCTGGGGAAAATGCATGCCGGAACTTCGCTTGCAGTCCTGTGAGTGACAATCTGGTACGCGGTTACCTGGCATGTTGGTTGTGACAGCATTAGATCTTGCGTTCCAAAACCAAAGGCTCGTGCTAGTTCTGGGCCGTCTCGGATATCCACAAACCTATACAAAATGAACTGGAGATGCACTGACGGACGTTTCCGAGGCTAAGTCATGAGCCAATAGTTTGCCTCATGGCGCTCATCCACAAGTGAACGGTGGATTGCGCCCCCACACCTGCAACAGCTGGACTGGCTACACCGCACAGAAAAGCAACCAGCCTGTTGTACAGCACCACTGAATCAATCCTTGAAGGAGGCTTCAAACAGGAATCTGCACTGCATATACATGAACACATCATATCCGCAGCGCCCTCAACATCAGGCAAAATGTTTGGGCAGAGCGGAAATGCTCAGCCCTTACGATCTCCCATGTGGCAACAAGGCACCGAGGCAACTAGGGTTCAGCCGGCAAAACAGTCATGATGGCAGAATTGATTCGGGCAGCTGAGCCTCACAAAAACAAAAAAGAAACAGAGCAAGCACGCGCAAACAAGCTAGCCCTGAAGCAAGCAAGCGATTCCGCCAACAAGAAGGCCACCAGTAAGTAGCAAGCAAACAACAGCATCAAAGGATATGTCACATGTCCGCACATTGATTGATTGATTGATTGATTGATTGATTGATTGATTGATTGATTGATTGATTGATCGATTGATCGATTGATTCATTGATTCATTGATTCATTGATTGATTGATGGATGGATGGATGGATGGATGGATGGATGGATGGATGGATGGATGGATGGATTGATGAATTGATTGATTTGATTTGACTTGACTTGACTTGACTTGATTTGATTTGATTTGAAATTGATTTGAAATTGAATTTATTTTATTTGATTTGAATTGAATTGAATTGATTTGATTTGATTTGATTTGATTGATTGATTGATTGATTGATTGATTGACTGATTGATTGATTGATTGATTGATTGATTGATTGATTGATTGATTGATTGATTGATTGATTGATTGATTGATTGACACAAACCACTTGTTCCCCCAAGAGGCCAGGGGAAAATTAGTGAGTCTAGTCGTTGTTTAGTGAGTGCCAGTATCCCTCTCAAATGAACCACAGACCGGACCTCACACGCGGAATTCAAGTGAATGCAACATGATATACTCAAGGTGAAACTGTCAAGAACCAAGACCTCCAACAGCCAAGCAGTCGGTTGTCAGCAAAACAAACTGCTCAGAACTGGTAAGCTCGAGCCAGAGGCCTAAGGTACACACTTAAAGTTTTCGGGGTCAGCACCACTACGAAGCTTCTTGATGGTAAAGCGGACGATCTTGAACCTGCGGTCAAACAAGCGGGCGTTCCATCCGAGTGGGCACTGGAACCAAGCGGCGGGGCAAACAAACCATGTAGTTGGGACGCAGTGCGTAGACGCAACCTCTGTTCGCTGTACTAATGTCGCCCTTGCATTTCCGGCACGCAAGTCGTGCTTTGTAGCTGCGTGTTTTGCTTGCAGTGGGCGTGGCGAAGGTCCTTGAAAATGGGCCACAGATTTGCTGGTGCACTTTCAGTCAATGGATATGGTCCGGCATGTTACATGAACACATGCAGATGCACACATAGTTGCAACAGTCGAACCTGCCTGCGGTCTTTCATCGCTTTATGATGTTACAAGAGTTTGTTAACCAGTTGCAGGAAAAGTCTGCTTGGGTACTTTGTTCTTGGAGGTGGAAGACATCGGCAAATGGGTTAGCTTTGCTTGGGTGATGAAACATTATGTATGTATAATATATATATATATATATATGATTGATGAAATGTACTTTCCACGTGCCTGGGGTCATCCTTCATGATCATCCGATGCACCATATCTGTGGCTGGAAAGCCCAGGAGGAGGCCACCTCAGTCAAACTTGCTTCTGATTTTCTCTATCCTCAATCCGAGATCGCGGCCTAGCAGCCAAGTCCTGCGATTTCACAGGAAAGAACCGCAAGAAAAACAGATTATGCAAATGAGGAAAAATCCTCAAAGGCACATCGCATACGTAGTACAAGCTGTGGGCCAAGACGCCGCCGGTGATGATGTCCGACCAGTAGAAGACCCGCAGCACCCCTTGCCAGGCCCACGCTTGACGGCACCCTGTTGCGACCATTGAAGTTCAACGAACGTGAAGCAACATGACGGGATCGCGCGGTATGAACTTGCACCATCCAGTCTCTTTCTCGCCCTGCAAAACAGAGAGACAGAGTGCATGTCTGCGCACCTTGTTCACGCACACACAAACGTGTCTGTCTGACAGCTGTGCCTCTTTCTCGTCGCTGAAAGGGTCCACAACAGGCTGAACCTATGCAGCACAAAGTGACTCAAACAACCAGCCGCAGCAATCAATGATCTTGGGCATGGGTGAGTGGGCAAGCAGCCAGGAACAAATCAAGAAAGCAAAAACCTCAAGCGGAAACAAACAATCAACGTGCAAGGCAAATGGACACAGCTTCGGTCACATTTGCGGAACTGTGGATCTTCTTGATTACAGAAATAAGTGTGGGGAGAGTCCTGCGAGGATACACAATCACAAAGCAGTTGGGAACCAGCAGCCGTGTGCAAAGGAAATCGGGCCGAATGCCAGCTTTGGCAGGCCTTTCGGCTCAGCATTCATATAAATTGTCTGGAGACGCGAAGGGCAAAATCAGCACAAAACATTCACCGCTGATGTGACGGCAGGAGCTGCAAGGGTGCTCACAAGGCAGCCTTTAGGCCCCCACCACTGACCATATCTTTGGAAGAGCTGCTTCTATAAAGCCGCTTGCCAGGGTTGGCAGTGCAACGACCGCTTGCATCATGGATTGCCTTGGTTCTGCAAAGTTCTAGCATGTGCGCCGTGTCTAAATTGTATTACGCAAGAAAGCCAGCCACGTTGGAGTCGGCAGTTGTGCAGAAGACCTTCTCTCACACACTTCTAGGCATGCCAAACTGGATTGCATGAGCTGGCTCGCCGCCTCGTCTTTGTAATGTCAGGTGCAGATGATGCTGACAAACCAAAGAGAAAATCCTTCGTCAAAGACACGCGTCTTTCAATGTCCGCTTCTCAACTTGCAAGTCTTTACAATGCCCGCCTCCTGCTGGCCACGAGATGCAGCTTTGGCACCGGCATCCAAGCCTGGGTGCAGAGATGCCAAGCCCGAAGGGGTAGGCTCAAAAGGCTCCGGCTGAGGAAACTGTGGATGTCTCCGATGCGTCTGTTGGACCTTGCTTGGTGATTGATTGCGACAGGACAGGCCTGTGTGTCAGCTGAAGCTGAGGCAACCGCCTGACTGGAGGTGCGAAGGTCAGCCTGTAATTCGCACACATTTAAATCAGAAGATATTGCACTCAAATTACTATATCTCGTAAATTGCAAGGTTCCCCTCTCTTGAACTACAGTAATTACATTGAAATGCTGAATACAGCCTTGAATCAGTTGCACATACTTTGTGTCCTAGATTGTGGTGTTGGTGGCAGACCCCAAGCAACTGAGCTTCGCGCCAATCCTTGGTTTGAAGAGCGGGAAGCCAAACTTGCTGTTCATCGGCAACACCCTAGCAGAAAGTCGTCAGGCTTTGACCCAAAACATGGCGAGCAATGCTGAGCAGTACTAAGTAAGCTCCGCACTCGCATCAGCCCAGGCTGGCTGATGAATGCCCGATTTACCATGCCCACATTGCAGTTGGGGAAGCAGTGCAAGTTATCAATGTGGGCCCCAAGAAAACCTCCATACATACATGTTATGGGGCACCGAGAGATTGCTCACTTTTGTAGCTCTGGAGCCGACGAGGCATGGGCATTTGCCACCTTTCAAAGCTAAAAGAAGATGAACAGCAACAACACCAACAGCTGCCACAACACCTGCAATTATCACACGCACAACAAGCAATTCCAATATCTTCCAGAACCCGCCACCACCGCCACCGCCACCGCCACCGCCACCGCCACCGCCACCGCCACCGCCACCGCCACCGCCACCGCCACCGCCACCGCCACCGCCACCGCCACCGCCGCCGCCGCCGCCGCCGCCGCCACCGCTTCAGCGGCTACTGAGTACGCTCTTTGGACGCTGAGAGCAGCGAGGCGCAGCGCTCACCCGTTTTGGATGAGCTCATCACCATCAATGTGCACCTCAGAAGTTACGCGAAGGTGGACATGTTCACAACACAAATGCGAGGATTTGTCCTTTTGATCTTTGAAAATTGTGCAGCAGGTGACACGAGCCCCGGACAAAATTACATGGGAAGAGGATGGCCCCCAATGTTTCCGCCATGATTGTTTCCGCCCGTGTGGATTTGTGTGTGTGTTTCTCCGGATCCATTCTGGCCTGGGTTTAGAGTGGGTTTAGGATGAACTTCTGAGTGCTTATGGTCGGATTAGGGCGAATGTGGGGGTTGTAGGTGTGGGTTTAGGGTGGGAGGGTTTAGGAGGGTTGGTGCGTTTAGGGGGTTCGGGTGGGTTTAGGGTGGTTTTGGGGGTGGGGGAAAGTAGGTGGCTGGCTAGCTGGGCTGGCCTGCCTGCCCGCTTGTCTGTTGCGCGTTTGTCATTGCTTTTGCAGCTGTTTTTGCATCCGCTTCTGTTTTTGCTTTGAAACTGCTTGCTTCTGATTGCTCGCTTTCGCTTGCTTGCTTTTGTTTGCTTCTGCTTCTGCGTTTGTTTGTGTGTTTGTTTGCTTCTACCGTTGCTTGCACTTTTGGTTTTGCATTTCCTTGTTTAATACCTGCTTGCTTGCTTGATTGCTTGCTTGCTTACCTTCTTGCCTTGGTTGTTGCCGCTCGCTTGCATTTGTTTGTTTGTTTGTTTGTTTTTGCTTGCTTGCTCGCTCGCTTGCTCGCTCGCTTGCCTGCCTGCTTGATCCCTGGCTGGCTGCTTGGTGCGCGCAGCCACCCAACCCCAACCCACGTCGCGCGACTCAAAACCCATGCCCCAGCTGCTCTGAGCTGAGCGGCACAGCGGACCTTGTGCACGCACTCACACACACACACACACACACCAACTGCGAGCAGAACACACCAAAACTACCACACCGCAACACTGTGCTTTTGCAGTTTTGTTTGGATTTTGGGCGGGTGCAAGCGTGCAATATGTGGCAGGCCTCACTGCGATGTTCGATTTTGGTGTGGATTTTGTCGAGAAGCCGCTACAAAAACACAATGTTTCGCGGTACTTGCGTTTATAGTGGCCGGCTGTATCGCGAAGCGCCTCAGTTTACTTTGAGATTGGCCATGAAGCTCGAGATGACAAAATCACTGCTGGCTCTGTGGTCTTGTGTCGGATCAGCCTTTTCTAGGAGCTCTTGAAAATCTGTGTTGGCTTGCGAGTGATCTCAGATGTATCTCGGGTCCTTTCGGTGGATATCTCCAAGCATGCACAAGGTCCCCAAAACAAGGAAAAATGTCACCTTAACACTAAAACTCGTCAAGCAAGAATCAGCTCGTTCTCTGCGTGCGCGGCCATGTCTCGTTCACAAAGTCTGCAGTAGGCTCCACGAGGGTCACAACCTGGTGCCAGGGCAAAACCAAAGCCGAACGCATAAAGCTGAAGTTCCGCGGTCCAAGCCTGCACCTGCAACGCCCACAATCCCAGACCTCCCCAAAAATGCGCCGACCCCTTCTCCAAAGGGGAGGCGCACGGGAAGGGTGGCAACAAGATTGTCATCACGATGCTCATCATCATCTCTTTTTTCGACTTCAATTGTAGCAGAGATGAACAAGCTAGATGCAAAAGATGCGTGGATTTAATTATCATGATGACTGTTTCCGAAACTTGCTCGGATGAGCACGTGCTTGTTGACAGCTGTTGGAATTGGCTCGCTAGACACATGATCATCATCATTATTCTCACCTTCATTATCCGGTATGTCTTTCTTGTGTGGCGCTGTGATGATTATCCTTGTTGCTACTGCTACTGGAGATGTTAAGGATGCGTAGCGACGGTCATCATCGTCAGTGATGATTATCATCATCCTGCTCTGCGCTGCTGGAGGTGCTAGAGATACATGATGACATATCGCTGCTGGAGATGCTACAAGTGCGTCGTGATGATTTTCATCCGATTTGAGATGCAAGAGATGCGTGGACATGATGATCATCATATCATCACCTTCTTCGTCATTTTCCTCATCTTTTTCATACACGTTTCAAAAGTGACGTTCGACCCGATTGGAGATGCAGCCGATGCGTAGTCATGCTTATCATCATGATTGCTGGTGATGCTGAGGATGCGTCGTGATGATTATCATCCGATTTGAGAGATGCGTGGACATCACTATCATCATGAGGATGACGATCATCATGATGATTATGAGGAAAGTGATGATGGTGGTGTTCATCATTAGCATCATGTTCATCAGCAGCATCCTCATTTTCATCAGCAGGTACATCCTCATCTTTTTCATACACGATTCAAAAGTCACGTTCGGCCCGATTGGAGATGCAGCCGATGCGTAGTCATGCTTATCATCATGATTGCTAGTGATGCTGAGGATGCGTCTTGATGATTATCATCCGATTTGAGAGATGTGTGGACATGACTATCATCATGATGATGATCATCATGATGATTATGATGATGAAAGTGATGATGGTGGCGTTCGACGGGATGATGGTGGTGTTCATCATCAGCATCATGTTCATCAGCAGCATCATCATTTTCATTAGCAGGTTCATCCTCATCTTTTTCATATACGTTTCTGCTGAGTATGCGTCGTGATGATGAACATCATGATGATTATGATGAAAGTGATGATGGTGGTGTTCATCATTAGCATCATGTTCATCAGCAGCATCATCATTTTCATCAGCAGGTTCATCCTCATCTTTTTCATATACGTTTCAAAAGTCACGTTCGGCCCGATCGGAGATGCAGCCGATGCGTAGTCACGCTTATCATCATGATTGCTGGTGATGCTGAGGATGCGTCGTGATGATTATCATTCGACTTGAGAGATGCGTGGACAACATGACTATCATGATGATGACGATCATCATGATGATTATGATGATGAAAGTGATGATGGTGGTGTTCATCATCAGCATCATGTTCATCAGCAGCATCCTCATTTTCATCAGCAGGTTCAATCCTCATCATTTTTATATTCATTTCAAAAGTCACATTCGGCCCGATTGGAGATGCAGCCGATGCGTAGTCATGCTTATCATCATGAATGCTGGTGATGCTGAGGATGCGTCGTGATGAGTATCATCCGATTTGAGACATGCGTGGACATGACTATCATCATGATGATGATCATCATGATGATTATGATGATGAAAGTGATGATGGTGGCGTTCGACGGGATGATGGTGGTGTTCATCATCAGCATCATGTTCATCAGCAGCATCATCATTTTCATTAGCAGGTTCATCCTCATCTTTTTCATATACGTTTCTGCTGAGGATGCGTCGTGATGATGAACATCATGATGATTATGATGAAAGTGATGATGGTGGTGTTCATCATCAGCATCATGTTCATCAGCAGCATCATCATTTTCATCAGCAGGTTCATCCCCATCTTTTTCATATACGTTTCAAAAGTCACGTTCGGCCCGATCGGAGATGCAGCCGACGCGTAGTCATGCTTATCATCATGATTGCTGGTGCTGCTGAGGATGCGTCGTGATGATTATCATTCGACTTGAGAGATGCGTCAACAACATGACTATCATGATGATGACGGTCATCATGATGATTATGATGATGAATGTGATGATGGTGGTGTTCGTCGGCATGATGGTGGTGTTCATCATCAGCATCATGTTCATCAGCAGCATCATCATTTTCATTAGCAGGTTCATCCTCATCTTTTTCATATACGTTTCTGCTGAGGATGCGTCGTGATGATTGTCATCCGATTTGAGGCGTGGACATGACTATCATCATGATGATGATCATTATGATGATTATGATCATCATGATGATTATGATGATGAAAGTGATGATGGTGGTGTTCATCATCAGCATCATGTTCATCAGCAGCATCATCATTTTCATCAGCAGGTTCATCCTCATCTTTTTCACACACGTTTCAACAGTCACAGTCGGCCCGATTGGAGATGCAGCCGATGCGTAGTCATGCTTATCATCATGATTGCTGGTGATGCTGAGGATGCGTCGTGATGACTATCATCCGATTTGAGAGATGCGTGGACATGACTATCATCATGATGATGACGATCATCATGGCAGGTTCAGCCTCATCTTTTTCATACACGTTTCAAAAGTCACGTTCGGCCCGATTGGAGATGCAGCCGATGCGTAGTCATGCTTATCATCATGATTGCTAGGCTGGTGATGCGAAACGCTCTGTGCTAAAAGTTGCCTGAGTCTACGCGGCTGGCTTGTGACTGCAAGCCGATCGGAAGAGCGAATGCTCTGTGCTAAAAGTTGCCTGAGTCTTCGCGGCTGGCTTGTGACTGCAAGCTGATCGGAAGAGGGAATGCTCTGTGCTAAAAGTTGCCTGGGTCTACGCGGCTGGCTTGTGACTGCAAGCTGATCGGAAGAGGAAATGCTCTGTGCTAAAAGTTGCCTGAGTCTACGCGGCTGGCTTGTGACTGCAAGCTGATCGGAACAGGGAATCCTCTGTGCTAAAAGTTGCCTGAGTCTACGCGGCTGGCTTGCGACTGCAAGCTGATCGGAAGAGGGAATGTTCTGTGCTCAAACTTGCCTGAGTCTACGCAGCTGGCTTGTGACTGCAAGCTGATCGGAAGAGGGAATGCTCTGCGGTCTAAACCAGAGCTTGGACAAAAGCAGACAAGGGTCGGCAGCACAGGGCGGCAGCCCTTAAATCCGGCCGCGGCCAACTGGCCGAACGGCTGTGTCAGATCCTTCGCCTTGGTCCTTTGGAGCAAGGCTCTAGAGCGAAGCTCTATGGGGCTGCCGCAACGTGCCGCCGACTCTGTGCATGCCGAGGATGCGTGAAAAGGAAAGTGATGAGCATCACCTGCGTCATCTGCTTCTGGGCGGGTGCGTTTTTGGGCTTGTTTTTGGGTCTGCAGCCTTGGGCTTGCAAGTCTGCGGTCTTGCCCCGGCGATGCGGGTGATGCTGGTGATGGTAATGCTGGGGATGTTGCTGGGAGCTGCCTTCCACGCGGCGTCCTGCTGCAGCCTTGAAGCACCGGAAAAACACGTGAAAATGCAGGGCTTTTAACTACTGCAAAAAACCGAGGAAAACGTTTGGTTTTGACATGCGTTTTGCGTGGCAACTGGCCCCGGCGTGCATGCGAGTAAGCGCAGGCGCGCAAGCATGCGTGCGCGCACGTGCGCGTGCTCGCGCACGCATGCGTGCGCGCGTGCGTGCGTGCGCCGTGCGTGCGTGTGTGCTGCGCGCGCTGCGTGCGTGCGTGAGTGTGCGCGTGCGTGCGTGGGTTGCGCGTGCGTGCGTGTGCGTGCTGCGTGCGTGCGTGTGTGCGTGCGTGGGTGGGTGGGTGGGTGGGTGGGTGGGTGGGTGGGTGGGTGGGTGGGTGGGTGGGAGGGTGTGCGTGTGTGCGGGATGCTTGCGTGACGTGCGAGCGCGCGCGCGCGCGCGCGTGTGTGTGTGTGTGTGTGCGCGGCGGGTGCGTGCGCCTGTGTGTGGGTGCGTGCGTGGGTGGGTGTGCGTGCGTGAGCGCGCGTGCGTGCCCGCGTGTGTGCTTGTGCCCGCGTGCCTGCGTGCGCGCGGGCGGGCGGGCGGTGAAGGGGACAGAAATGACGGGAAATGGCAAGAAAATAGATGGGAAACGTGGAAGATGGATGGAAAGCTGAGGGAAGATGTTTGGAAAATGGATGTGTGTATGTGTGCAAGTAAGGAAATGTAGGTATGTTTATGTTGTTGTTGTCGCTGCTGCCTGCTTTGCCGTCCTTGCAAGAGCTGTCAGGTTGAGCCTCGCGATGCTACCGCGGCCGGTTGTGCGCCAGCAACGTAAATCCGGCTACGCCTCCTTGGGGTAGCATGTCGCCGCTGGGCAATTAGCCTGCTAGCTTTAGCTATAGGGGCTGCACCCTGGTGCCGCCGACCCTCGCCACTTGGTCGTGATGCGCGGCCTAAATCCGGACCTCTGCATCACCAGCTCGGGCTTGCGGTTTTGATTGACTATGGGAAACCCTCGCGAAACATCGCGTATATGCAGGGTTTAGGCCATGTGGCTGACATCGTCAGGGTCTGGGGTTGGGCCTGGGCGATGCTTCAGCGGGGCTTGGTCTGCATCATCAAGACTTCCTTCCAAACAGCCTCTCCACCCAAAAAGCGCTGTTTTTAACTAGGTATCGGAGGGGTATAAGCGAGGCTCATGTTTGCGCATTTTGGCGCCAAGCGCTGCCGGGCATGCCGGCGACGCTGGGTCCTCGCTCCACAAAACGCTGTAAATACCGCCAAAAACTGCTGTGCTGAGCGCTGGGCTGTTGTTCTGTCCGTTTTGCTTTTGCTGTGGCTGGCTCGCGCGCTGCGTTGTCCTTGCTTTTTTCGCGTTGGTTTTCGGGCCTTTTGGCGCGCGCGCGCGCGCACGACCCCAGCCACAAAACGCTGCTATTTACGGTGTCTTGTTGCATTTGCGTTTCCGGCCTGGCTTGCGGGCTGCTCTTTTTGGGCTGCTTTTTTGGGTCCTCTGGCGCGCGCGCGAGCGACCCCATGTCAGCCTTCTGGGTTGGGGCCCGGATAAGACCCAGAAAGCCGACATCCCCGGCATTATCTGGCGTTAAGGTGGGCAACATGCATAGCCTAACCAGCCATATCATAGCACACGCTACGTTTCTCATGCAAAAAACATGACATGACGTGGTATAACTTTAAAGAGGCGTAGCCGGCTAGAGGCCGCAGGCCCAGAAAATAAGGCCAAACGCCAACCACACGCACGCCCCCTTAAGATGCCTGCGACTCCCTGCGCTTCTTACGAACGCGACGCCTGCGATCCCTGCAACGCTTGCACACGTCCACGCATGCCACAACACCCACCCTTGCGACTGTCCACAAACGCCCGCAATGCAATGCCTGCCATGCCTGAATTCATGTCTAAGACCGCCGCCAAAGCTCCGCTGATAGACTTGGCTCGCAATGTGCTCATCTGAAGCCTATCGTGCCCACTTTGTCTTGGAAACCACTGTGCGCCAGAAATGAGCATTCAACAAGGTGAATGTTGAGCCTCGTGGGAAAGGAAAAGGTGGCGTGGACCTTGACCTTGGCACATCCGCTCCCAAAGCGTTCCACGCCCGACGCTGCCAAGCGCACACACTCAGTGCTGAACATAGGCACCAAAAGCGCAAACAGCCAAGCATGCATGCCTGCAAGGGTATGGTCTCTGAAGTACCGGTAGAATCCGTGTGCGCCTTGATAGGGCTGGCCAAATTGGCTTCTGGCAGAAGTGGCGGCCTCGCTGGGGGGCTTTCGCTGGTTGCATGTCTGCCACAGCCTTGCCTCAAGGAAAAGATGTTACTGCTGCAGTCAACACCTTGAAGCCGAGCGTCGAAACACCGGCCAGTTGCAAAATGCCCGCAGCACAATCTTTGCACCGAGTTGCAGCCCACGTACCCCCAAAGCTGACAGAAGTCTTCCCACTGCATCCAATATGTCCCATCATCACCTTCCAGCCACACCACCAACTCAGCCAGCTATCATGCAAAGACATCTAGGCCAAAGGCTGTTTGCAAATCCCAAGGCGGACTTCACATGCCTTAGGCTGGGTATCGCCATTGCTCGGCACTGCGATCCACAAGGGCGCCTGCTCGACACTACAATCTGCAGTTATTACAATCACAGGAGCGGATACTTCTCCCACAGGGATGACCCATCGCACCACGGACCTTTCCACTCCTTGGCTAAATCTGCCAGCGACGACTACACAGTTGTCCTGGCTGACGCGTGGCCAGCAACCAGTGGGCACAGCCAGCTGAGCTCAGCGCGCCTGTTCCCCACGGGTTTCGAATCTGAACCATGCCTTGGCACGCTCGAAGCAACAAATGGTTTGCGTGCGCTTTTGGTTGATATTCCGAACTGAGAAGTGTGGCGCAAGTACTCATCCGAGTGCCAGCTCAAATTGACTGTCCGAACCTGCCAGGCCACCAAAATCAGTTGACCCCGGGCGCAGGCCAAGTCATCAAAAACACCTGGTTGTGAACCACACCACATTGCCCGTGGAGATAGGAAGAGCAAATTGTTTGTCTGATACATATATATATATATACATGTACACGTATAAAGGGGTACACATGCTTGTGCCAGTCTTTGCAAACCCGTCGCCCAATTGCTGGACTTACATAAGCCACATCAAGCAGGCCAACGCAAACAATCATCAGGCTGAGCCCAGGAGGCTCCATTCAAGGATCCAACATTAAAGCGGTGTTCACCTTATGGCATGTCAGCGCGGTTATTTTGAAGTGCAATTGCGAGCCATCTTCTACTACTACTGCTTACTAGTGCTTCTGCTGCACTACTACTACCACTACTGCTACTGCCACTACTACTACTAGTACTACTAGCAGTACTCGTCCTACTATTACTTCTCAACTTAACTGATTGATCCTGAATTTTATGTTTGGTCCCTTTGCCCTTTTGGATTGCGGCAGCTTCTGCTTGGGATGACGAGTCAATCAGCTTGGTGGTGAGGCTATCATGCTCGGGGATTCAACGTCGATGGTCATCAAGCTCAAGTCAAATAATTTCTGGTAGGCATTTACACAGCAACCACGCCTGCCTGCGCTCCTCGGTCCATGCCCTATTCATGGGTGTGGGCTGTCCTTTCATAGTGCGGATCTGGTTAGCGAATACCACCGGCATGCTTGCGACCGCGCCAGAGACCTCACCCCTTTCAACCAAGGATTGAGGTTCTTTCTCCTGCGTTTCTGAACTCCTAGAGCATCGAGACCAAACGGCAGAAGGAGTAGAAACTTCAACTCTCTCCGGACCACCCTCCTCGCCAGCGCGAGTACGGCTAATGGACAATGATGGACGTGTGAGAGACCTCGTTGCCGCCCCCAACTCGCCGCCGGTTCTGGAAGCTCTCTCAGACCTTCATTCAGGTGTCGAGTGACTGTAGGTGTCTGCAGCGTCAATCATCTCCGCGTCTTCGGCCAAGGACCCTCCGCCGAGAGCCGTTTCACTGATGCGCTACGATCCCTATTCGCAGAACCATCTCCTTAACATTGGGGAGTAAACTTGTTGCTGGACCTCAGAAGTTCAACTCGGCCGACAATGAACCGCACAGGAAAAACCACCAACCTGACCCGGGCCGAAGTCTCTTTCTCCTTCGACAAATGCCTGATCAACGTGGGGACCCGGCGACGCTCATCCGAGGCTGCTATGGATCCAAGTTTGCTATCGCAACACCCAAAGCACATGACTAATCACAGAAAAAAATGTGTTTATGAATCCCGCTGCCATGCCAGGACAGCCCCATCTACATTGCAGGGGCATGCGTAATCGCCCGACTATTAGAAAGCAGCCTGGCAATGTCGCCGGCAGAATGGACTCGGAGACTCAACAGTTTCATTGCCACGCGGTTGACAAAGTGGTAAAAATGAATGGCCGGCCACTTGGACAGGCTTCTTTCTGACTATGCTAGAATCTTCACCTCAACCTTTGAAGGTCCCAAGAGAAAAAGGGCCAGTTTGACAAAGTGCGCCCACTTGCCAAATGCTGCACTTGAAATGAGATCGACATGCACTGCTTTCAGAAAGCCCTTGCGCACGACCAACTAAGTCAGGCAAAGAACAAGCAAGTACCAACCAACAATGGCTGGCAACAAACATTAACAAATAGATGGTGTAGATGGTGGGCATAATTGCTCCCAATGGAAACATATTGAATCCAGAACAATCAGCAAAATGCGCATGCAGGTCAATACGGCTGGGCTTCAAGAAAGGATGCAATCACAAGAAGTGCAAACACAAGGAAACCATATTGTGAACGCAAGTGAGGTGAAGAAGATGAGGTCGAAAACTCACTCAGGCAAGATGGGCGAACAGAAAGGCCACCACAGTTGGGGACAACCCGGCCTGAGGATCAGCCGAGGCCCGAAACAGCACGCCAGAGTTTGAAGAGTTTGAGTGGCATCACTCAGCGCACATCATTTCCACGTCTCAGCTCATTTTTACATCCATCCCGCGCCCCGGCCTGGAGCAAGGAGAAGGCGTGCTTGGGAACAAGACCTGCAAGCAAATCTGCCGGCAGTATCCAACTAAACGTTGGCAGACACGCCTTCTGTTCATATTACATGTCAAAGTGTGATCTAATCACACACAACACACCCTCAAACAAATACGACACTGCTATGTTTCACTGTTGGCATCTTGCATGGGGTGTTGTAAGCAACCAGAGTGATTGCATCCAATTATCAAAATCTCATGCGCTGGCGGACCATCTGCACGTGAAAGCCTAGCTTCTTTCCGGCATCTTGCACACCGCCACAGCCTGCCACTCCGCAGACAGCCCCAAGCAACCACCCACGCACCATAAGGCCGGAGCATAAAACAGCCCCTTGCCGATGATACTGCCGGAGTAGCTTAAAAAAGTCCTGGAGTGTTGCCCAGCAGAACCCTTGCAATCTGGTAAGAACGAATACGTCCTCATCGGTGTGTTTCTCATCATTTGGCTTGAAGGCGCAAGCCCGTTTGTCCTGTGTCAAGTCATCCATCTAAAGACAAGCCAAGAAGCACTCAAGGCGGACCTTGGATTTTTGGGTGACAAGGTCCAGCCGCTCCCAGGTTGAGCCCTGCCAGGGCAAAGCAAAACGCATTCACACACAGAGATTCGCATCACAGCCATCCTGGCGCTCGTAGCGCCAGGCATTGCCACCGGTCATGGCAGAGATTGCCCACTCAGTGATTCCAGCCTGTGCATGCATATGCGGTTTGACTGTGCTGCATAACTGTCTAACTGTATTACTTTTTGTTCCACTCTTGCCATCTCTTGCTTACCCAGCCTCAGTCGCTGCATAGCTGCTGCAGAGCTTGGCGAAGGCCTGAAAGGAGTGTGGGTTGCCATGGAGCAAAAAGAACTTCCGGCCTTCTCCATCAGCATCACCCATATCTCTTTGCCATGCGGCTTCGCGTACATGGCCTCCCGTGACCCTAAGTTACATCAAGTGAGCCCAAGCGACCCAAGCCCGAGTTTCGTTCTGTTCCTTGACTAACGCTCCCGGACTGCGCTCCAAAGAAGCAGCCGCAATAGCAGTCGAAGGACATGGAAATTCACACCCTGCCTTTGGCATGCCATCAGCATTCCGTGCTGCGCCGTCTGGTTGATCTCTCGGGTCGGCTATGCAAGGCACAAAGTCATCAAGCGTAATCACCTTGGCTCGCCACAGCTGAAGACCGCTCATGGTTTCCCTGGACTTTGCAAAGTGAAGCAGTTCATGCTGGATGTCGCTCCTGCACCCTACGCAGTCGCAGTTGTCTTGTTGGGATTCCAGAGACCGAGTGACCAACCAACCCCCTAAACCCCTTGTTTCAAACCGAGTGCATGCAAACTGACAACTACCTGAACCTCCATCAAGAAGGCAAAATTCCTTCTGGCGCCCAATAAGTCAATCAGTAGGTGGGGCGAGAACTGTTGCAGAGACTTGTGTTAGAGCCAAAGCGGACTTCTGGGCACAATACGTCTCCAAAGTCACAGAAGCCGTATTTGATGCTGAGCTGCATGTATTTTGCAGATTGCTGTGTCTTTTGTAGTGACAGAACGTCAACTTCGACCAGGGCTGTTCCCGCGCCACAGCAGCAGAGTGTATGGACCACCAGTCGGGGTGGCTCTGGGTTCTATGTAGCGGCAATGTAGCGGGCAACAAGAGCAAAAAGTCGTGCAACGTGAGTGGGAAGGTTGAAGCAGCAGTTGCTGGTTCTTTGTGGAGGGAGGCAAATGATTGACTCCTGGGGTCTTCAATGCTGTACCCTGTACACACATATAGATACTTATTTTTAAATATATGTAAATATAGAAGCTGCTGAGAATATTGCTGTCCGGTCTACTGCTGGCCGTTGGAGTACTAGGCAAATGTTCCCACGCAAACCAGTTGGTTTGGAACCAACAAGAGGGTCACGTGTTGATAAACGCTGTGCTAGAGCAATTTTTCAAGCAAAAAGCAGACGTGCCGTCCTGAAAGGTTTCAAAAACAGTGGTTTCGTGTCCTCAGCGCCACAAACGCACTGGTTTTGCGGCTTTTATGTCTTCAGGTTGAAGAAGGGCCTAAAAGTGGAAAGGTAGGCTGTCACAAGTTCCCACCCTTCTACGCGATGCGCGCCAACTCCTTAATGAGATTGCAATCTTCCTTCAGTTGACTTCGCCAAAACAGAACATGTGCTGCACAAGGCGAGGGCTGACGCCTTGGCCACGCTCTGCCTTGCTCTTCACAGAACTGGGCAATAACATTTGAAGAGATTGCCAGTAGCGGTCTAGTCACTTAAAGTCATGCAAAGGTTCCTTAGAAGACGCTTTGAGGGCCCAAATAAACAACACCCACGCCGCGTTTAAACAAGCGCAAAATAAAACGCCAAGTTCTTTGCAAAACAGCTTTTCGGAGCCATGGCTGCATCAACCGGATGCTCACGCAAGTGAAGCAGTCGACGAGACAGCACAAATGCAGCAGCACAGACGTGCAGCGGAGCAGGACCTGGAAAAGAAGAAAGAGAAGTGAACCAAGCGTTGAGGGACAAGGCAAACTCGTGGCTAGTAGATCGAAATTGAGAGGGGCCCCACAGGACAAGGAGCAGGTGGAAGCACGTCCAGGCGGGAGTCCAAGTAAAAAGGGATCAGCGAGCCACAACCCAAAGCGGCGGGGCGCAGCCAGCAAGCCTCAGCAAAAGCACGAGAGAAGGAGTAAAAGTCGTCCTGGACAAGGCACCCATGCCCGCTGAGCAGCGAGCGTTGTCACTACCAGCCCCCAATTCAGACACACCCCGCAAGAGGCCACCACGGACCTGTTCCACCACAAGAAAATATAAGCAGAGGAAGTTAAAGGGTGTCCATTGCAAAAGGCAGTATTTGCTGCTCGCCCACAAAAGTTCGGTTGTGTTGCACAAGCAAGCGCCACCTGCTGTCACTTTCTCAAAGCACGATAGAAAGTGTTGCTGTTCGTGTTCGTCACACTCCGGCTTTTTGCATTGGACAGCAGACAAGTACGCCGCAGCGACATTGACAAAGTCTGCTTCTGCGATACAATTACTGTCCTTATCTTCAACGTAGCCCGTTGTGGCACCAACCTCTTACGCAGTCGTCTGAGCCCGTCCCACTTATAGGCTTGCGCGTCCATTTCTTCCAGCTGCCGTTTCTTGCACCTTCTTTTATTAGCACACTCTTGCTTGCGAATTTGCCTCTCCAGCATCTGGGCCTCAGTTGGTTGATTGGTTTCGTGTTGTTTCTGTTTTGCGCTTAGCAGGCGCCAAGTCTCTTCGGAGATGTATCCTTTCCTTGAAGTTGGCTTCGCGCGCTGCTGCGTGTAAGCCTCGCGCCCACATATGGAAGGCCTCAGCTTGGTCGGCGTTATTCTGCGCCTGCGCGTTCTCTCGTTCCTCTAACTAACAACGTCTTCTCGTCTGGCAAGTTTGAGGCTCATCTGCGCACTTGGCAGGCGGCGTTGGTGCTGACAGCATGGCGAGACGCTTGTTTCAGCATTGGCAATGGCATTCCTCCAGTTGCGATTAACCCAAGTTCCGTAATACGAAAAGTGGAGTTACCCACATGCGAAACACGCGAAGGGTAGCTCTGTTTTGCGCACGGGTCGCTGAGGGTTCGCCACGGTCTCGCCACGGGTTCGGAAAGTTGCCAACTAGAACAGCCGCGCAAGGTTTTCGCTCGGTTTGAATTGCGTGGCAGGCGCAGCCCTTTGGCAAGCTGAGGTGCAGATTTCGTGACAGGCGCACTTTGTCGCGCGGTTCGTGAATCGCATCGGAGTACACGCGAGCTGCTGCGCGCCGACTGCGCGGCAGGCGCTTGATTTTCTCACTCTGACTTGCAGATTTCGTGGCAGGCACAGCGCTTTCGCAAGGTCAGGCGCAGATAGATGGATAGCTAGACAGATAGATAGATAGGTCGATAGATTGATACATCGATAGATAAGAAGATAGATCGATAGATAGATCGATAGATAGATCGATAAATAGATCGATAGATCGATAAATAGATAGATAACTAGATAGAACAAATGGAAAGAGATAGAAGGAGAGAATAGATAGAGACAGAGAAAGAAAGAAAAAACAAGAAAGAAAGACTAGAAAAAAGAAAGGAAGAAAGAAAGGAAGGAAGGAAGAAAGAAAGAAAGAAAGAAAGGAAAAGCAAAAGAAATACATGAGAGGAAACAAAGGAAGAAAGACGGAAAGAAAGAAAAAATAAAGCAAGAAAGAAAGAAATAAAGCTAGAAAGCAAGGAAGGAAGAAAGGAAGAAGGAAAGAAAGGAAAGAAAGGAAAGAAAGGAAAGAAAGGAAAGAAAGGAAAGAAAGGAAAGAAAGGAAAGAAAGGAAAGAAAGGAAAGAAAGGAAAGAAAGGAAAGAAAGGAAAGAAAGGACAGAAAGGAAAGAAAGGAAAGAAAGGAAAGAAAGGAAAGAAAGGAAAGAAAGGAAAGAAAGGAAAGAAAGGAAAGAAAGGACAGAAACAAAAAAAGAAAGAAAGAATGCAAGGAGTGGACACTCCACCTGCCAACTCGACTGCGGCAGCCAACTCGACCCAAAAGGTGAACGGGCATGGGGCCGGGAAGTTTTGTTTCTCTTACTATAGGCACATGTCCTTTCTAGAAACTTCCGCCCTCCAGCTCTGCTGGAGTATACCTGGTAAGATTGAAATCGATCTGCCCGCAACGGTCAGTTGTAAACTGAGGGGTCTGGGTTGGCGTTGTCGCGCTGCGATGCGTAATCAGCTTGGCCATTGGATGTTCAAGCCACTCATGGTCCTGACAAAAAGTCAAAGAAAAATGTGCTGTCTTGTTGTTTATGGTAAGTTGATGCACACTGTCAGTTTCATTACGGAAAATGTTGGGGCTAATCACGTTACATTCATGGTTTAATTGCTCCATAAGTCTCCATAAGTCTCGAGTTGAAGTCCCACATGAATATGTGCGTCTCGTGTTAGCAGCCATGGCGCTAAGATGGTTGCAGAGTTCGCCCTTCCGTGTTCGCTGCGCCCTCCGTGCGGGGCATACGCGGCTACCACAGTTGTTTTCTTTTTACCTTTACCGGATGTGTGTTGAAAGTCGCGAGCACCATTCTGCCATTGATTTGCTGCACATGTTCCTTGCACATTGCTAGCTGTGGGTTGCACACGATTGCCGCGCCATGCTTTTCAGCATCTAGATTGTGTAGCTCAATGTCTGCGAGGCTTGGCTGCGGTTGGAGTCTGCGTTGTTCCCGCTTTTGTTAGGACTCATTTTGATTTTTCGGATCACGCGTAACATCCGTTGAGAAGTAAAGTGTGTACCCATCATGTTCTTGCAATGCGTGGGAGAAGTGCCCCGCCGAGACTGAGAGCCTCCACCGCAGCTTTTCTTTCTTGTTAGGATAAGGTTCTGCCCTTTGCAGTTTTGGGTTCTTGGTAGTTTGATTTTGTGTCTTAGCTGCAAGGTGTTCTTGAGCAAGACACAGCTGGGTCGTGTGCATCGTCGCTGCTTCGGGTAAGTGCGGTGTTCTTGGCGTAGGTGCTAACTTTTCAGCTGAGACTCCCAGTCTGGTACCGCTTGGCTCCCACTGCAGACGTTGCTGCGGGTCTCCCGCCGTTCCCTGTTGGGGGCAGGCGCGTGCAGTGAGTGAGCGTACAATGTCGGTGTGCTTTGAAGCATCCTTTTTGTGTGTACTTACTTTCCCTTGATGCAGATGTTCAGCACTATCTGTCCCTGCCCGTCCTGAAACGGAGCATTGCAATGCAACATTTGGTGTGACAAAGCTGGTTTACTGTACGCAGCACACTTTCCATGTAGGTGATCCAACGCGCGCCATGCTAGGTATCGCTGGGGATCTCCATTCCCATCTGGGATGAAAACCGTATTGCGTTGCGGATGACTTCAGCCAGCAGCGCGGTACTTGATGTGCGGCAAGAGGCCAGGAGCAAAATCCTGGTGAAAAACTGGTGGGAGTACGAGACGCAAGGAAGTAAGGACTACTACACGCTGGAGTCCCACCGTAAGCCCTGGTGCAGTACTATGCCAACGAAATCCATGATGTTGGCCTCCATCAACTTTTCCGGAGTCATCGCTTCATCAAAGAGCGATTGTCGCGAGGCTTTCTCACTCTTGGTCCGTTTCTTATCTCTTCCAGGTGGCGAGGTGTACAGCTATTCCTTTTGGGTAGATCAAGGTCCATTCCGTCCATGGCGTCCACTATTAAAAGGGGGATCGATCCAAGATCCTGCCCACTGCCGAAGGTGTTGCTTTTTGCTTCTTGACTTTTGCTGGGGGAAAAGTAAAAAGGGTGAACTTGCTGAAAAACGCCAACGACCAAAAAAAAACATGGCCAAGGACAAGTGCCAAAAAATAAAACCATGTGCCCTTGTTCCAGCGTGCTTTTTGATTTGGCCTGAATTATGCAAGTAGTTCTGTCCCGGTTCAAATACCAGAAGTAGATAAGTTTGCATTGTTCCAGGATTTCGGGTCATTTTGCCACTGTTTTAGGTCCAAAGGAGCAAACCTAGGTTTTGAGAGGAAGCAACAGATCATGTACGATTCTTCAGTGCATTCAAGTACCACCCCTACTCGCGGGTACAAGCCATCAGCATCTGCAGCTATGCGGTCTCTGCCGAAGCTTGCTTGGCGCGCCACCTTCCAAACCTTCTCTTGTGGGTCGAAGAGCTTCACGCTGTACTTGCCAGCTGGTTGAACCTCACGAGTGTCGTCAAGAACATAGCCAGCCCACAGCAAACAAAAATTATGCGATTCACACCAGTTTTGAGGGCAACACGCGCATAGCGATGATATTTGTTGCTGAGGTACACTGCAGTAGGCGCTAGTACTATGATGTGTCTTGTCTTGTTGTTGAGTACACACATTGGCAACAGAGTGCGCGACGCAGCACTCTGTGAAGAGGGAGTTGATGGCACCTTCATGCTCCGCTAGGGTGGCCATGGCCTCACGGCGAAATCATGAGACAAATGCAAGGCGGCAGTCCAGTGCGCGGCAGCTAACAGCCAGCAGTCGCCCAAAGCGCCCTGCAAGATGTCTTGTGCCTCATCGAAAACATGTGTGCTAGATAACTGTAGTTGCTAGGCTTTGCAGACCTCAATTTTGCCCTCGAACAGGCACATAAAAGAGTCCTCGGCAAGGCTGAATCTAGCGCAAACGAACTGCATAACCGCATCAAGCCAGTTGTGGAACTGGGTCCAAAGCTCCAAGTGTGGGATGTGATGGCTTGGGGCCGTCCCGCCTCTCAAGTCATGATTGCTCTTTCAGGCGAAACATGTCTGCTCCGCCTGCTGAAGTGCATGGCTCGAACCTTGGACCATGTGAAGCCATGGCCAATGAAGGTGCCATGGCAGCCAATGAAGGCGCTCGGCCCACACAATGTTGGAATCCTTTTTGCCAGACGTGGCATTCGCACTGTCGCCACCCACCTGAGGAAAAGAAAGGCAAAGGCAAATTGGTGCTAATTAGGCCTTGCCCAGGGACTTGTCACATGGCGGAAACTCCTGAAGTGATTCAAGGAAGTCACACGCTCCTTGGGTGCGTGCTTTCAGCTCCTTGTCTTCAAAGAATTCAGAGCAGCACCCACCCAGAAGCCAGTACATGCGCCAGCAGTATATGTAGAGGCAGCTCGGAATGTAAATCCTCCCAAAAAGGTGCAGATGGTTGCGCTATGTCCAGTTGCTTCCAACTATGTGAATGTACAAGCCAGGCCTGAACGCATGGATGACCAGAATGATGGGGCTGAAAATCAGATTGTAAATGCAGCAAGCCTGGCAAACACCCTGGCAAAAACATGCTCGCAAAGACCCTGCTGGAAAGCACACCAGTAGCGCAAAACCGGACCTGCCTGGCCCGAGTATAGACTTGGCCAGCACCTGCACAAAAGCCAACTGCAAGCCAAAGGGCTAAACGCCGTTGCCAAGTCCAGCACCACAGCCATCGGTCAGCCAATTGTCGCTCCGGGCTCCCTTCCTGTCCGTTTTGGCTGCCCTGTGCAGTTTCTGCTCTCCTGCTCGCACATATAGGCTTCACGCTCGCAGTCGTAGTCTGAGAAGGGCATACACTACAAAGTATGCTGCCACAATCGCCAAGACCTGAGACTATCATTGGGCCAGCCCTGTCAGCTTGTGATCTGCTCACAATTTTCAGTGTCCGTTCTGAGCCGCCCGCTGGCCAATACGTGCTTGCATGTCTCGGCACAGACACTGGTCTAGTGATCGGTTCTGGTGGTGGAGCTGCTGGTGTCACAGGACCAAATGTGTTCCACCTAGCTCACGAGGCTGGAAGCAAGTGATATGAGGCACAAGCTCGGAGACTCAGATACTAGCCCTTGTGGCTGCAACTGACCAGTTGCCTGGCCATCGGCTGGCTTGAAGAACGTTCCCACACATGTGTGGCAAGGCTGGCTTTGCTGAATAAATGCAGACTGGAACAAACGTCATGAAACGGGAGAAGTGACCCCGAGGCTACAATGCGCAGAAGGCCAGTCCATGCATTGATTGTCGGGCCACCACGCCTGGAACTGCATCAGGCATGAAAGAATCCATCAAAACAGCAAGGATTCTTTCATGGACTGCTGGACTGTCAGGAGGCGAAACAGCATATTGGTGACTGGTGTGCCTGCCGTGTACTTTGGTTTGCCACGCGCAAGCTGCAGCCCAGCGCAGACATCTTGTTTTCCCTGATGAACAGCAACCTTACATTGGAGACTTTCGGAAACAGGGTGGAGGGAGAAGTAGAAATCTCAGCTTGGAGTGATACTGACACAAATTGTTCCGGGTCCTTTTTGGCTATGAATTCATTGTCGTCGATCGTTCTGATGTCGTTCAGTGTCGCTTCTTGCAGTGACGTCCACTTTGTTGACCATGGGAAGAACTTTCGGGATACGGCCATATATCAAAATTCAGATCCGCCAGCATAGTACGTGCCTAAGTACCTTCCTAGTCAGTGTGCCCGTGTTTGTCCACCTTGCTTAGTGTCTGATACACGTTGTATCAGTCCGCCCTGTTTAAAACATGACTTTTTTGTGCATATGTTTTGTCGATTTGATCTTCAACTACCTGGGCTAGGCAGTGCCAACGGCTTTTCAGAAGGCGATTTTGGGCCAACATGAATTGGCAGCATGTTGTCAGCTCAAGTTGTCCTCGAATGTGTCATCAGTTTTCATTGCCATAACCCCCAGGTTGATACTTTCTCCCTCTCGTCTTGGGGATCTCCGGTGTTGGCACCTTCCTATTCGTCCTGCAACTCAATTTGGATTTGCTTTCGCCTTCTTTCTCCTGGAGAGCCAATGTGCTGCATCTTTGCACTGATTTCGCAAATCTGCTGTTTGAGTCCAAGCTTGGTTTGCTTGGGTTGGTGGGCTTGGTTGGAGGTGGGGTTGATTGTCGAATGGACTAGGAATGGGAATAGGGTCGGTTCAGGATCGGACTAGAACTTGTTTCTAGGGTTGGTCTTTGGTCTTGGGTGAGTATAGTGCCGAGTCAGGTGTTGGGGTGTCGGGTGGACTTGAAGGTGATTGGCCGAAATGCTTGCAAACAACAGAACTGAACCCTTACGCAATAAGCCTCCGTAGTCAAACTTGCTGTTCTGAAGATCAAAAGAAGGCTTTTGTTACACGAAGAACAAATGCAGCGCTGACACACGGCACACGCAGAACTGCTCTCCTCAAGCTTTTTGTGTGCTCTTTGTTGGACAAGCTATTTTGTTCTGCCGTTAATGCTAATGTTGCCACCAAAATTAAAAAGAGAGAACTAGATCAATGCGCAATGTGTGTAGCGGGGTGATCGTCCTACATCGCGCAAAATGCCGGTTGCATGAGGATGATTGCTGGCATGCTCACCATACTTTCTTGTTTTGCTGCGAAGCAGAAATGCTTAGATGTGCGTCGGGGACGAGCCAAACATCATTGACATCACCAGGCCGGCTTTGAATGTTTCGCCCCCTTCCTCATGCAAGGCACCGCTTTGGGCTACTTTCAGCGGTGCAAAATCTGTCACTTGCTAGCCAGCTCGATGCAACCTTGATATTCTATGGGCAGAGCATGGCAACCCTTCAACTGCTTGAATAGACGCAATCAACATGTACTGCTTGAGCCACATGGCACACGTGACTATTGCGTGAGCCAGACAAATGCTTGTGGAATAGGAAGCGCAACAAGCAGCGAAACTTTTGTTTCAAGCGGCTTTGTACCACCCCGGTGGAGGCGCCACCCGGTACTTACGGCATACACTTTCCACCAGTTCAGACTCTCTGTCTGCGTACTTCTCCATAAATTCTGGAACCTGCACACAAGATTGAGCGCGGAAGAGAGAATCTGAGAACTTGCAGCTACTGGGCTCCCGCCTTGGGAAGAAGATTCGGGTTGTACCGAGCGTAGACTTTATTCAGCCACACTTCAACGTCTGACGGGGAAAGCGGCTCCAACCCGTCTTTCAACTGCGGCTCAGGCAGGGCATAGGAGTTGTGCAGATGAACAGTTGGGTGGCTCCTCATGAAACAGAAGCAACAGACTTGGGCGAGAGCAACCAACTGACTTAGCTATGCTCATGACTGCTCAAATGCATCGTCCTCCCATCAGGGACGAGTCGACAAACGCAGTAGCCGCAGCCAAACTCCCGGTCGCCACAGCCAGCAGGATCATCTTTCTCCAGGTGCTCCATTGGCTGGATACTGGAGTCAACTTCAACCTTCGCCTGCAGCAAGCCTTTGGATGGAGACCTCCCATGGGAGATGCCATGGGAGTCTGCAATCAGCAGCCTTTCAAATTCCCATTGCTCCCGCGTGTCGACCAAGTCGTCCCCATTCCAGCACTGGATCCATCCGCTTAGTCCAGAACTTGGACCATCTTCTACACCTCAGCAACCAAAAAAGCAAAGCCGCAGTGTGACATGCAAGATTCACTAAGGTCTGCACTCACATGCATCCAAGTGCATTGCTCAAGGGTTCGCATTTCCCACACATGCACCAAGCATCCGCCTGCGATGGGGACATGCCAAACAAGGTGGCAGCTCATTGACAGCCAAACCTCTTCAGACTCAAAGACTATGAAACCATGCGATATCATGCGATCCTGGAACTAGATCGAATGATCCTCGTTTCGCAGCCGGCTGTTCCAAATTCTCCACGAGGGGCTGCTCGCCCAAAGTCCGATACTTTCTACCCACCTCAGACTGTCAGAAGCACTGGAGGCCGCAAGTGATGGAGTGATGTCAAGCGGGCCTCCCACAGAATGCGTTTTGCATCTTTGGCAAATGAGTGGCGCGGCCTTGGCATGCTGTCCAACCACATAATCAGCATGCAACATGACAAAATACGAAGGCTGGTCAGCTCCAATTTTAAGGCCAAAGCTGTTCAGCTACCTCTGGACCCATCAGATTTACTGTGTCCAGAGTAGCCATGCCAATTCCCAAATGCATCCAGCCGATTTTGTTACCTCAGTGACCAGCAATGAAAGACTTGACCTGCATGCGTAAGCTGCTACAATGGCTTTCGACTGGGCTCATAAGTTTCACACGGGCTGTCTTGACTTTTCCCATTGGAGCCGCATCGCGCTCGCTGCACAGCAGGAAAAGTAACACTTCCTCATCGGCCTCCACCTGCGTCGCGTGACGAGCACCCCACGCGCAAACATGGCTACCAGTGGGCCCACTGACCCAGCCTGCGCAATCTCCTGACAAGATTTATTTGGAATCAGCATCTTGCGGTGCACTGATTGCTTGGCTGCGCAAGACTATGGCTCTTGATGCTCACAAAGCAATCCTTGCATTTGGGAGATGCCGCAGAATGCAAGGCAGCCGGTGTTCGGACGCGATATCTTCCCGGCACATCTCGAGAGCCTTCCAAGCGCCTCAAGGTGAGAGTGACTGAGAGTGACTTGCGTCGTGACTGTGTGGCCTCAAGGATACCGGAAGTGGCTGTGCCTTGGCTCTGCATAGGTTTTTCGATGTCAATGTGCGTGCACTCCGTCGTTGCACAAGTCAGACTGAGAAATCAGCCACCCAGCCAGCTCCAAAGCGCTCGTAAGGAAGGACAAGGCAAAAGTCTGCCGTGCGCAAAGAAAGTCGCGAGAGACGACCGTAATGACATCCAGAGTATGCACCATGGCTCTGCCAGTCAAGTTGGCGCAAAGGATTGCAAGTCAGTACCCGCCTGCTGAGTCATCCACGTTCAAAACAAGCACTTTGGCCTGCCACGCCAAACCCAAACACGCACACACACACACACACACACACACAGACACGCCCACACACACACACAAACACACCCACACACACACACATACACACCCACACACACACACACCGACACACACACACACACACACAAACACGCACACCCACTCGCACCCACGCAGTCACGTGCTGTGCAAAATTGCCCAGCCATTTTAATCTTGGCTTTGAGGCAAAACGCAGCTCATGGGAGGACATCTGGGAAGGGCGGTCTGCGACTGCCTGAAAGAATTAACTCGCGGGAAGCTGTTGCTGTGCTTCTGTCACATTTGTATTGCCTGCTTCCCGCGAAACGTACGTAGTTGACAAAACAAAAAGAGATGTACAACACAAACAAGCACACACACACACACACACACACACCCGCGCGCGCGCGCACGCAGTCACTTGCTGTGCAAAATTGCCCGGCCATTTTAATCTTGGCTTTGAGGCAAAACGCAGCTCATGGGAGGACATCTGGGAAAGGCGGTGTGCGACTGCCTGAAGGAACTAACTCGCAGGAAGCTGTTGCCCTGCTTCTGTCACATTTGTATTGTCTGCTTCCTGTGAAATGAATGTAATTAACAAAAAGAAAAGAGATGTACAAAACAAAAACAAACAAACAAACAAACAAACAAACAAACAAACAAACACACACACACACACACCCAAACACACTCACGCACGCACGCGCACGCACTTGCCCACACACACACACACTCACCGCACACGCCCACGCCCAGTCCAACACACACGCACACGCACACGCACACGCAGACCCACACCAACACCCACACCCAAACCCACACCCACACACACACACACACACACACGCGCGCGCACACACACACGCACAAATGCACGCAGGCGTGCGTGCGCACACGCGTGCGCACGCCCGCACGCCCGCCCGCCCGCACGCCCGCACGCCCGCACGCACGCACGCACGCACGCAGAGCGCACGCGCGCGCACGCGCGTGCCCGCACGTGCCCGCACGTGCCGAAACAGCCCGCACGCTCCCGCACGCTTCCGCACGCTCCCGCGCACGCGCACAGGCATACACATAGGTACGCAGATCTGTGCACAAATAGACAGCAACACCTTGGCCATTGTCAAAGCCGTCTGTCTGAAATAGGGCCCTCTCTGCTCTCAGGCGCCCGACGGGGCGAAAACAGCGTTGAAAAGCCAACGAACCCAGAGAGAGAGAGAGAGAGAGCGAGAGTTGTTACAGTAGACCCTGTCATTCACGCCGTCTTCCGCGATTGCAATTAATTGGTCGGCATCTGCGCAAAAAGAGACGGGCATCTTTCAGCGGTCTGCGCTTACAAATGCTCAACGTTCTGCTTACTTCTGAGATCGGCGGGCGTCACGGCCTATGTAGGCAATCACTTGTCTTGCCAGTAGAGCCAGCGAAGCCGGTGGGCGGAAGATTCAACCAAGAAACTATAGTTTGTTAGCTCTCTTCATTTTCTTGTTTCTCATTCTCTTACTCGTTCTCTTACTCATTCCTTATTTCTTTTCGTGCCTCCTTTTCTTGTGATATTTCTTGCTTTATTTGTTTTTCGTTTGTATTCTTTCTTCTCTCTTTCTTTCGTTCTTGCTTCCCTTCTTCCTTCCCTCCTTCCTTCCTGCCTTCCTTCCTTCCTTCCTTTCCTTCCTTCCTTTCCTTCCCTTCCCTTCCTTCCTTCTTTCCTTCCTTCCTTCCTCCCTTCCTCCCTCTCCCCTCCCTCTCTCTTCTCCTCTTCTTTCCCATCCTTTCCTTTGCTTCCTTTCCTTTCCTTTCCTTTCCTTTCCTTTCCTTTCCTTTCCTTCTCCTTCTTGATGCATTTACTGATTTATGGTAGTTGTGTTTGCTTCTGTCTTGTGTTTCTGTCTTTCTTTCTTCATTGTCTTTATTTTTCTTTCTTTCTTTTTTTTCTTTCTTTTTTTTCTTTCTTTCTTTATTTTTCTTTCTTTCCTTTCTTTCTTTCTTTCCTTTCTTTCTTTCTTTCCTTTCTTTATTTCTTGTTTCCTTCATTCTGTATTTCTTTATGTATTTTTCTTTTTTTTCCTCTTTTTCTTTTCTTTGCTTTTCGTTTCTTTTCGTTTCTTTTCTTTTCTTCTCTTTCTTCCGTTCCTTTCTCCCTTTTCTTTCTTTCCTTCTTTCTTGCTTGCTTGCTTTCTTTCTCTTTTCCCTTTCTTTCTTTCCTTCCTTCCTTTCCTTCCTTGCTTGCTTGCTTGCTCGCTCGCTTGCTCGTTTTATTTCTTTCTTTCTTTCTTTCTTTTCTTTTCTTTTCTTTATTTTCTTGTCTTTTCTTTATTTTCTTTTCTTTTCTTTCTTTCCTTCTTTGGTATTTTCTTTCTTTTCTTTCTGTTCTTTTTTTGTCTTTTCTTTCTTTTCTTTCTTTTCTTTCTTTTCTTTCTTTTCTTTCTTTTCTTTCTTTTCTTTCTTTCTTTCCTTTCTTTCTTTCTTTCTTTCTTTCTTTCTTTCTTTCTTTCTTTCTTTCTTTCTTTCTTTCTTTCTTTCTTTCTTTCTTTCTTTCTTTCTTTCTTTCTTTCTTTCTTTCTTTCTTTCTTTCTTTCTTTCTTTCTTTCTTTCTTTCTTTCTTTCTTTTTCTTTCTTTCTTTCTTTCTTTCTTTCTTTCTTTCTTTCTTTCTTTCTTTCTTTCTTTCTTTCTTTCTTTCTTTCTTTCTTTCTTTCTTTCTTCTTTTCTGTTCTTTTCTTTCTTTCTTTCTTTCTTTCTTTCCTTCTTTTCTGTTCTTTTCTTTCTTTCTTTCTTTCTTTCTTTCTTTCTTTCTTTTCTTTTCTTTCTTTCTTTCTTTCTTTTCTTTTCTCTCTTTCTTTCTTTCTTTCTTTCAATCTTTCTTTCTTTCTTTCTTTCTTTCTTTCTTTCTTTTCTTTCTCGCTTTCCTTCCTTCCCTCCCTCCCTCCCTCCCTTCCTTCCTTCCTTCCTTGAACGTTTGCGCTTGCTTTCTGTCTTTCTTTCATATTCTCTCCGACTTTCCATTCTATTTCTCTCTTTCTCTCTCATCTATCCATCTCTAGCCATCTCTCTCCCTGCGTCTCTCCATCTATCTACCGATCGATCTACCTATCTATCTACCTTATCTGTCTACCTATCTATCTATCTCTATGTTCTACCTATCTATCTGCACCTAACCTTGCGAAGGCGCTGCGCCTGCCACGAAACCTGTACCTGACCTAAAGTGCTACGCGCTACGCCTGCGACGAAATCTGCACCTGACCTCGCGAAAGCGCTGCGCCTGCCATCTGACTGACCTCGTGAAAGCGCTGCGCCTGCCACGAAATCTGCACTTGGCCTTAAGCGCTGCGTCTGCCACGTAATCTGCACATCAGCGCTGCGCCTGCCAGGAAGTCTCCACCTCACCTTGCGAAAGTGCTGCGCCTGGCAAAAAATCAGTACCTGACCTTGCCAAGCGCTGCGCCTGCCACGTAATCTGTGCCTCATTTCGCGCGCGAAAGCGCTGCACCTACGACATCAGTACCTGACCTTGCGAAAGCGCTGCGCCTGCCAAGAAGTCTACACCTCACCTTGCGAAAGCGCTGCGCCTGCCACGAAATCTGCACTTAGCCTTGCAAAGGCGCTGCGCCTGCCACGGCAAACAACCAAACACACAAATAACAAGCAAATCAATTTACACATGTTTATTCATATATGTATATATATATATATACATATGTGTACGCCGTAAGTTGGCGCTTAAATTACTAATATAGATGTAGAGTTATTTGTCAGGTGTTATCCATGTACCTCTCTTGTTTGTTACTTATCTAATTTGTTCGTAGGTTATTTGCTGTGTGCTATTCATTTTGTGTGTTTACTTGTTTTTGTTTACTTGCCAGCTATTGTTTTGTGGTTCTTGTTCACATATTTGTGTACTTATGTCTGTTGTTCCCGAAAGCATTGCGAAGCATTCTCACGGAAAAAAACGGCGCCAAAGGCGCAAGTACAGTTACACTGAGCAAGTTACACCATCGAGTTACATCGGAGGTCACTAGAGCAAGTTACATGAGAAAGATACACCAGAGGGTTGCAGAGCGAGTTGCACTAGCGAGTTGAATGAGAGATTGCTTGAGCAAGTTGCACAAGCAAGTTACATGAGATTGCCAAGCAAGTTACACAAGCAAGCTACACGAGGGTGACACACGAGGAGTTGACTGTGATGTTTGGTTGGAGTTGTCAAGTGAACTGGCGCGTGAAAGAAAGAAAGTAAAGCTCGACACGTCTAAATTACTCTTTTAAGCTTGTCGATCGGGAAATCGACCCTCTGCGTGGGTTGGCGTGGTCGATGCTGAAAACCTGAGGACATTTGCTACTTTCAACATTCCTGATCAACCCTCTGCGTGGATCGGCGTGGTCGAGTTGAAAAGCTGTGGACATGTTTTAACATTCCCGCTTGGCCCTCTGCGTGGTCTGCGTGGTCGGCGTGGTCAATGCAAAAAAACTGAGGACTGTACTACTTTTCAACATTCCCGATCGACCCTCTGCGTGGAAGAGCGTCAAGTTGAAAACTGCGGCCTTCTGCGGTCGCGGACCGACCCTGTGTGTGGATGGGCGCGGTCGATGTTAAACAATAGAGGACTTTTTACGATTTTGCGGTCCGCGGATCGACCCTGCGCGGATCGGCGTGGTCGATGTTGAAAAACTGAGAAGAAACGCTATTTGCTTGGTCGGGAAAGTTTGTTTCGCGATTGTCTTTGAAGCCAGCAGCCTTGGGCTCGAGCCCCCCCTGGCCCGGCGACTGTCTAGGCTTGGCAGGAAGAATCTGGCGAGACTGCACAAGTCAAGTGGCGCAAACGCAGGCTTCTGGGTGCAAGTCGCACCAACAAGTTGTAGTAAATTTAATGTTTACAACATATCTTTATCTTGAAGCAACAAGACTAGCTGGGAGGCGTTCAAGTACAGAGCACACACATGGCAAAGTCCGGCAACCAGTCGGCACCAGCAAAATACAGACTGTCTTTGAAGAGCCGCGGATGGCCGATCATGGCACGAGTGCTAACTTCAAAATGCACATACGCTATGCACAGGCAGAAGCCGAGCAGTTTGCAAATTGTCTTGGTAAAGTGCAGCCACAAGGCCAACGTAGATCCAGAAGGAAGCGGATCTTGAATCTGGTGAACGGGAAGCAATACTTGTTTGAGCAATCCCCGCTGTGCTTAGCTTGTTGGGTCGCAACTCAAATCGCTGCGCCTTCTGTGGTGTAGACAGAGATCATGCCTATTCATACTGGAGCATTGAGCTTATTTGAGTAACTCGCAAGCCTTTCAAGTTGTAGCTAATTGCCTCCAAGGCTTGCTGAGCCAAGCAAAACTATATATATATATATATATATATTTGTATGTATATGTGCATATATATATATATATATATATCTTGCAGAGCCTCCGAGCACAAGGCCTCTCCCACCAGAATGCTTAAGCCACCATCAATGTAACACATGCCTTCTTGCAGCAAAACAAGCAACACCAGTGATTGCTCTGATCAGTTAACAAATGCGCACGTCTTCTTCGTCCTTATACGCCTGTTCCCCAGAAATCTCTATTGCCAAACTAACTTTGTTCAGTTCTATTGGCTCTTGCCCTGCTAGCATCGCTGACTGGCCTTTCTGCGCGCATCCGGCCAGCCTCGTACTGTTGCTTGCGCGCTTGGTGTGTGCATTGAAACAGGGCTGAGGTGATTGTTTTTGCCTAGCCCTGGCATCAGCCTAACCCTGGCACAGCCTGGCACGCAGGAAAGCTCAAGGGCAGGCTTAGGGCAGGCTTCGGGTGGTGGGTGCAAGATTTCTGGGAAAAAGGGTAGGTTCAGGATTGGCTTACGGTGGGCAGGTGTTGGCAACGCAGCAGACCGGCCTTGTAAAGCAAAAACAAGACACTGACGGACAACATATCCAGAGCCTCGTTTTCAACCAGGCTCTGGTTTAGGCTGGGTTTAGAGTGTTGAGAGCAAACTTGGGGCTGGCTGCGCTTGAGGTAGATGGTTTAGTGCTGGTTGATAGTGGGCTTCTTGGGGTTGTTTTAGGGTGGGCTTGGGCTGGTTTAGGGTGGGTGGACTGGCGCGAACGAAAAGGCAGCATCTGTGTCTACAACTTAGAGCGGGCTTAAGAAAGGCTTCGGGTAGGATTAGGGTGGGATTCGGAGAATTGCAGGGGGGTTTGCGGTAGGTTAGATTTAGGGTCGGTTCAGGATTGGCTTGCAGGGGTTCAGGGCAGGTGTTGGCAACGCAGCAAACCGGCCCTATAAAGCAAATTCAAGACACTGATGGACAACATATCCTCAGCCTCGTTTTCAACCAGGCTCTGGTTTAGGCTGGGTTTAGAGTGTTGAGAGCAAATTTGGGGCTGGCTGCGCTTGAGGTAGATGGTTTGGTGCTGGTTGATAGTGGGCTTTAGGGTGGGTGGACTGGCGCGAGCGAAGAGGCAGCATCTGTGTCTACAATTTAGAGGGGTAGGATTAGGTCGGTTTAGGGTGGGATTCGGAGAATTGCAGGGGGTTTACGGTAGGTTAGATTTAGGGCCCATTTGAGGGTAGAGTAGATTCAGGGTTGGCTTGCAGGGGTTCAGGGCATGATGGACAACATATCCTCAGCCTCGAGCAAATTTGGGGCTGGCTGCGCTTGAGGTAGATGGTTTAGCGCTGGTTGATAGTGGGCTTCTTGGGGTTGTTTTAGGGTGGGCTTGGGCTGGTTTAGGGTGGGTGGCCTGGCGCGAACGAAAAGGCAGCATCTGTGTCTACAACTTAGAGCGGGCTTATGGAAGGCTTCGGGTAGGATTAGGGTGGGATTCGGAGAATTGCAGGGGGGTTTACGGTAGGTTAGATTTAGGGTCGGTTCAGGATTGGCTTGCAGGGGTTCAGGGCAGGTGTTGGCAACGCAGCAGACACTGATGGACAACATATCCTCAGCCTCGTTTTCAACCAGGCTCTGGTTTAGGCTGGGTTTAAAGTGTTGAGAGCAAATTTGGGGCTGGCTGCGCTTGAGGTGGTTGATAGTGGGCCTTAGGGTGGGTGGACTGGCGCGAGCGAAAAGGCAGCATCTGCGTCTACAATTTAGAGGGGTAGGATTAGGGTCGGTTTAGGGTGGGATTCGGAGAATTGCTGGGGGTTTACGGTAGGTTAGATTTAGGGCCCATTTGAGGGTAGAGTAGATTCAGGGTTGGCTTGCAGAGTTCAGGGCATGATGCACAACGTGTCCTCAGCCTCGAGCAAATTTGGGACTGGCTGCGCTTGAGGTAGATGGTTTAGCGCCGGTTGATAGTGGGCTTCTTGGGGTTGTTTTAGGGTGGGCTTGGGCTGGTTTCGGGTGGGTGGACTGGCGCGAACGAAAAGGCAGCATCTGTGTCTACAACTTAGAGCGGGCTTAAGAAAGGCTTCGGGTAGGATTAGGGTGGGATTCGGAGAATTGCAGGGGGTTTACGGTGGGTTGGATTTAGGGTCCATTTGAGGCACGTTCAAGGTTGGAAGTGGGTTGGTGATGGGTTCTGGGTTTGTGGAAAATAGAGTAGGTTCAGGGTTGGCTTACAGGGGTTCAGGGCAGGTGTTGGCAACGCAGCAAACCGGCCCTATAAAGCAAATACAAGACACTGATGGACAACATATCCTCAGCCTCGTTTTCAACCAGGCTCTGGTTTAGGCTGGGTTTAGAGTGTTGAGAGCAAATTTGGGGCTGGCTGCGCTTGAGGTAGATGGTTTGGTGCTGGTTGATAGTGGGCTTCTTGGGGTTGGTTTAGGGTGGGCTTAGGCTGGACTGGCGCGAACGAAAAGGCAGCATCTGTGTCTACAATTTGGGGCGGGCTTAGGGCAGTCTTCGGGTAGGCAGCCAGCCAGCCAACCAACCAACCACCCAGCCAGCCAGCCAGCCAACCAACCAACCAACCAGCCAACCAACCAACCAACCAAGGGTTGGCCCTGTGACTGGGTTACGCAAAAACGAACACACTTTCCATCAAACGGTGCAAAACAGAAAGCATCCTGAGATGCTTCTCAAAATAAGGGGTTCAGGTACTAATCGAACGACAGTGCAGACTCCTCCCTCCCTGTTGCGGCCTGGACTTCCAGGGTCCCCAGTATCTCCGAATCTTGTGTCCGAGATTCCAACAAGGGCACCCGCTGCGTCAAGGCATAGCTGCCACCGACCAATGGAGATGTGTCAACATCGCGCCTCGCATCCCAGGAAAGGCGTCCCAAGGCAAGCCTTACACCTTTGTAAGCCTTCAGCCAGGCAGCCATACAAGGCCAGGCCTGTACCAGGGCGCAGGCGGCCCTTTCTTGCCACAGCACTTGCAGCACTTGCTGCTACAGCAACCCATGCAGGCAAAAGCAAATTGCCGAAAGCAATGCTGGCTGCCAGCTTCGTGTCTTCAGCCATGTTTGCATGCTGCTCTCTGGCTCCTATTTCAACTGATTGCTCTGTGGTGCTGTCTTGAGCCGGACGCAGATCTTCACATTGAAGGAATCAACTTCAACAAGCAACATGTCACCCATGTCACCCATGTCACCCAACATGTTGCATAAATCAATCGGGTGGGAATCCAGCCGTTCGCTCAAGCGATTGCTCTCGTTCAGAAGCGCGCTTGCGCTTACCCCTTGCCCGTGATGTCAGATTCTTGGTGTCCGTCCTGCGCAAGGGGACCAACTTCGAACTCCAGTTGTAGCTCATGATCATGTTCGAACACAAGCAGTGAGTCTGGGTAGGTTATGGTCGATTTTGGGTTGGTTGCTTTAGGGTTTGTTTAGGGTTGGTTTAGGGTTGGTTTAGGGTTGGTCCAGGTTTAACTTCCTGCGCTAAAAAAAGAGACGCAACACGCGTTCAAAAACGAGACGCTTCCCCTGCGCAAAGCCCAAGAGCACTTAGGCAGTAAAGCTCAAAGGATCCTCGGCAGCCTTCCAAGTTGACCACGTGTAGCTGCACCGCATAGGCCTGGGTTTGCCAACGGCAGGCCATTCGTATTTAGGTCGGAAGCTCACGCCTCAAACAAACTTGAGCAAAGAAGACCACTCACGTAGCCCTCCAAAAACATAATGGCACATGACAAGTCGTATAGACTTCACGCAGCACTTCAGGAAGTCTGCTTGCCTGATGCATCTCCAACTCCTTCTTCACATCGGCACCTGGTCTACCTGCGATTGCTGCTGAGCCAGCTCTACTGCATGCTGCTCAGCGCTCGTTGATATGTCTGGCTCATCCATTAATAGACTCCTCTGCATCATACAATGCAAGTATTCTTGTGTTCTTAGCACTCAATCATTTGCAGGAAGACTTTGAAGCCCGCGAACGCATGCCTTAAAGGAGCGAAGCTGCAAAGCATCCAACCTTGATTGGCAGCCAAAACTCACCGCAATCTGCAGGACGCACATCACATTGCTGCATCACTCTAACACTTGTGTGAGGTGCCCACTTCAAGTGCAAGACCTGGTCCAAATGCACCGCCTGATTTGCCAAATTCAATCTCAACACGCTGTTCTCATGTACCAAATAGAAACAATGGCCTCCGACGTAAGATCGAGCTGCGGGGTGTCAAGCGCGACCTACGATGCGCAGTGTGGACTCCCTCATATGTGCTTGCGAATGCAACACGTTGAAGATGCCCATGCAAGTTGTCCTGTGCTGGTGCGTAAGAGCGCAAGGATATAGTGGAGGTATGGGGGCGCTTGTCAAACGACGTAGGTATACAACTGGGACAGTGCTTGCTTGACACTTCCGCAGCCCCAGCTCGAAAGTTTTCAACAAGCCGGGTGACGGCAAAAAAGTGGTCACTGGATGCGAGGTGGAGTTGGGTATGAGACCGACCCTGCAACAAGGTATGAAACGAGGTATGACACGGAAAGAGGAATCTTCCAGCCCTTCCTGCTACCTGTTCCATTTGTTACTCTTCTGAAAGGCAAGCAAGCTCTCTGCAAGTTTTCTCTTCTGCACCCTTGAGAAATCACTCAAGGGCATGCAACATTGCAGGTTTTGTTCGTGTGAGCTATGTAACGAAGGTATGTCGCGAAGGAGTATGTAACGAGGGGTATGTAACGAGGGGTATGTAACGAGGGGTATGTAACGAGGGGTATGTAACGAGCCAGCAGGTCTTCTGACATGTAACGGGGTATGTAACAAATTGCTCCCGCGTCTCTGCTACATACACCTCAAAAAAATGCCTCTTCTTGCCAGAAGCACCATCTCCGTTCAAACAAAGGCAGCTGTCTACACACAATTGAGGTGGCGTCAGCAAAAAGCGGATTGAATCCTCGGAACCCTTCGATAGCGTTCGCTTTTGGGGCACAATTACACTTTCGGGGAAGCATGCTGAAGTCATGCGGAATCAATAGTCTCAGCTGCTAGAGCAAAGTACATCAGATTGCTTCTGATGTCGTATCACATTAACCTAGCTGAAGTCATATCACATTACTTCATCAAATCACCAGATTCTGCCACACTCTTCCGATTGACAAGAATGCCACTCCGCACGATGCACTCCACGCCAGCGAGAACTGCTCTGATAGGCAGCTACTCTGCAAAAGAACTCAGAAAACATAGCATGTAAGGACTCCAATTGCAAACAAGGCAGGCCAGTGTGACGACCGGGCAAATAGTACAACTGAGGCAACTGCCTCGCTCATCGCTATATTTCTCACGTGCCACCGACCCCCGACAGAACCTCAGCATGAGCAGTGTTCTCAAGGATGGATTTGGGAAATGTCATGTTTGCTCTTTCTCAAACTGCCCTGCTCAGCTCTCCTTTCTGCTGGTCTTGAAGCAGGACTGAACCAGTCTGAGCCTGTCACCGCCAGGCCACGCCTGGTAAAAATGGAACTTGCAACGAGCTGCAAATGACTAAATAGATGGCGCCAAACCCACTTAGACTTCAACATCAAGCAAAGCACATTTGGCAAAAGCCTACGCCTTGCCCCTCTTTTCCATGGCCATGACTACTGAAGCTAAAGCTTGAATATCTTGTTGGTCTCGTGTAACCCTCCTGTTACCAGAAGCCCGCGAAGAAGAAATGATTGAAAGAAATTAAAGCCAACATTGCTCGAAACTGTAAGCGGTCTGTCCTGCGGCAGCGCCAAAGCAGTGCGCAGTGCAAAGGACGTATTCTGAGGCGCGGAGTGCGGGTTCCGCCACGTCATCAGCCCAGAGCACGGCGGACACGAGAAAGCCCCATACCCGTAGACCTCCAGGACACGAATTGCGGATGCACCACGACCCATTCCAAGAAACTCTCAAAAAGCGTTTGACGCCACAAAACCACCGCAAAAAAAAACTCCCTGTGTTGGATAGGCGGGATCGTCTCGGGTGCCGAGGCGGTAAGGCAACTTAAGCGTTTACTAGGCAATGGCCTTCCTATCGCACCCGCCCCAATTTCCTTGCGCACGGAACTGGATCAATCGCTTTCCGCGCTTTTGCATGCGAAGACAAGAACATGGCCGTGGCCCCAGGATGTTGTCTTTGCACCTGGTAGTGAAAACCCTGGATCAATCAACCCATCCTGCTCGCAGACTAGCAGGGAGAATCACTGTATCATTCACAAAAGTCAAGGATTCTCAGAAGATGGGCATCCAGTACTGATCAACTAGGTATTGTGTCCAGCCGGGTTGACATTACGACGTTTTTCAACGTTAGTTTGGCTCCTTGGGCCCTGCTCATGCTGAAAGGAAAAAAAGCAAGAGTTGCTGCCAGTACACCAGGGGTTGGAATTGAGAATGAAGCACTTGGACAATTCGGCTCAGTTCCTTCAGAGCTATGTCTTGGCTGAACAACTCATGCGCAGTAGGGGTCGGAAAACAATTTTCCACAGGATAGCTCGTCCCACAAAGCCCTGCCAACCTAGGAGCTCCGGGGCTTTTACAAATCTTCACCTCCTGACAAGAAAGAGTTGATGAGGGGGCGGACAGGAAGAAAGAGATGACGGGCGATTACCTCAGTCCCTTTCCTGTCTGTTGACCTCTGTGTCATTCCTCTCTCTAACTCACTTCCAGAGTCTTTATAGTGAAGGAATGACACAATGAGCCAGAAGCAAGAGAGAGGGTTGGATCAAACGTGTGCATCAGACAATCAGACAGGTCTCACATGGAACACCTGTCCTGTCAGCAACACCGTAGACAACTTTCCATCCAAGCGCTTCTTTGTCAAGACTAACTCATAAAAGCGGGACGGTTGGAGGAGAGACGCTGCTATTTCCCTGCTCACCTCGAAGACCTCAAAGTTCAAAGGCGGGGAGCCAGTCTCTGTCCCCCCTTTCCCTTATTCACACCTCGTTTTTCAGGGGAAAAGACCGCGGGAAAGAAAGGGAGCAAGATGCATGACTGGAAGGAGAGATTCATAGGCACGAAAGATATGGCAAAGATAATGAAAATATAGTAAATGGTGGACGCGCCATTCTCTCTTTCCTCTATCTCTCTCTATCCCACGCGAATGGAGCAAGAGAAGGCAGGCGAGGGAGAGCTCGGAATAAATGATCTTCCGGGGAAGCACGGCATTCATATCTCTGTCTCTCTCTCTCTCCCATCTCTTTACACGTACTAAAGAGAGACAGGGATGCGAGAGACAGAAGGGATGATGGATTGAGCTTCAACTTCCTATTCATCCCCTTTCTTCACCTCGCTTCGGTGGCAACTCCAAGGCAAGTGACCCGAAGGAATGGGTTGCCAGCCATCTCCCCCTCTCTATTAGGCAGACTGCCAATGGAGAGAAGTGAGTGAGTCCGTACCCCCCTTTTAAATCGGTGCGGATTTATTTTGAGAGCTTTTCTTCCCGGCATTATTTTGTCTTGCGTGTGGGAATGCAAAATGCTGTAAATAGCAGTCTTTGGGCTTGGTTCGGCTTAATCGGCGATGATCGAAGAAGTGATGATCCAGCAAAGGGTGCATGCTAATCTCTGAAGAAAAAAAAGCAGGAGGGTCGGTCGAAGAAGTGCATACATACAGGCAAACATTAATTACCTAGATTGCATAGATTACATACAGACATACATACACACACGCGCACACACACATACACACACAGACAGACAGACAGACAGACAGACAGACAGACAGACAGACAGACGGACAGACAGACAGACAGACAGACAGACAGACAGACACACAGACAGACGGACAGACAGACAGACAGACATACAATACATACATACATACATACATACATGCATGCATGCATGCATACATTACATTACATTACATTACATTACATTACATTACATTACATTACATTACATTACATTACATTACATTACATTACATTACATTACATTACATACATTACATTACATTACATTACATTACATTACATTACGTTACGTTACGTTACGTTACGGTACGTTACATTACATACATACATACATACATACATTACATTACATACATACATACATTACATACATACATTACATACATACATACATACATACATACATACAATACATACATACATACATAAATACATACATACATACATACATTACATTACATTACATTACATTACATTACATTACATTACATTACATTACATTACATTACATTACATTACATCATATTACATTACATTACATTACATTACATTACATTACAGTACAGTACATTACATTACAGTACAGTACATTACATTACATTACATTACAGACATACATACATTACATACATACATACATACATACATACATACATACATACATACATACATACATACATACATACATACATACATACATACATACATACATACAGACAGACAAACAGACAGACAGACAGACAGACAGACAGACAGACATACACACATAGCATAACATACATACATACATACATACATACATACATACATACATACATACATACATACATACATACATACATACAGTTCATACATTCCATACATTCCATTCATACATACATACATTACATACTTTATATACATTACATGCATTACACACATTACATACGTTACATACATCACATACATCACATACATACATACATTACATTACATTGCATTACATTACAGTACAGTACATTACATTACATTACATTACATTACAATACATTACATTACATTACAATACATACATACATGCATACCATACATGCATGCATGCATGCATGCATGCATGCATGCATAAATACATAAATACATACATACATACATACATTACAAACATACATTACATTACATTGCATTACATTACATTACATTACATGACATGACATTACATTAGATTACATTACATTACATACATACCATACATTGCATGCATACATTCATACATACATACATGCGGCATACATATTTTACTTTGCATTACATTACATTGCATTCCATTACATTACATTGCATTACATTACATTGCATTACATTACATTGCATTATATTACATTGCATTACATTGCATTACATTACATTGCTTTGCATTACATTACATTACATTACATTACCTACGTACATACATACGTACATACATACATACCAGGGAGCCGCGACCCCCCCCCCAAGGATACAGGGGGGGAGTGGTGCCTGCAGCCGCTTCATGATGTTCGAAGAAGTGAGGGTGCTCCAAAGGGTGCATAATCTCTTTAACGGCAGCCCCTGCATGATGTTCCAAGAAGCCATGACCCAGCAAAGGGTGCATGGTTTGGCTTTTCGCATCCTTTGCTTTCTCAGTTTGTTTGGTGGCGTTTTGACTTTCGCAGCCTCTCGTTGGTTCGTGCGGCCTTCGCGTCCTCAGCATCAGTTCCAAAATGTACGTGTTTTATACATGTATGTTTATGTTTATGTACGCATGTATGTAGTCTATGGTCTTTGTAATCTATGTAATCTATGTCTGTAAGTATGCACTTCTTCGAACATCATCGAGGGGGCTGGTCCCCCCCCCAACCCCCGCTGTTGTTTTTCCTCTTTTACAGCCAACATAGCCACCAAAAGCCACATAAACCAACGAAAAGCCGCAAAAGCCAAAAAGCCAAGAAGCCAAAAAGACAAGAAGCCAAAAGCCAAGAAGCCAACAACGGACAAATACAAAACAAGAAAAAGCTTTCAACAAATACCCCTCCCGTTCATGTACGAATGAAGGGAATGGACTCACTCACTTCTTTCCATTGGCAGTCTGCGTCTTATCTGGTCTATCGGATGGTGTTCCTTCCTTATGTCCCATCCGTACGAAAACTGATTGAGCAAGCTGGGACAAGAGAAAGAGAGGATAAAAAAGAGGAATGAATAGGAACGCCTTCATCCACAGGGTCTATATCTTTCCAAGCGTTCCCAACAACCTCCTTTCTCACACCTCGTGAAGTCCGAAACCCTGCATCGCGCTTCCACGAGCGGTCCCACGGTAAAGCGGCTGTATTGCTTTACGGTTTTGCCGTTTGGTAAAGAAAAAAGAAACGGTGCCGAAAAGTGATATGCCCAGCCTCAACCCGCTGTTTAGCAAAAAAAAAGAAGGAAGAAACGGTTCAGCGGAAAGGCATGGATGGTTGTATATTCCAAACAGTAAACAGTAAAGCGGTGACATACAACACGCTGAACACTGTAACATGGCTTTGCCGTTTTACCGTTTGCCATCTCTCCGAAATTGAGAAGCGGACCTGTCAGCACCTACCCCGCTGCTAAACCAGCTTAGAGAACTCTGGGCCTCGCCCTGACTAGGATCACCGCCCATCCAGTGAGAATGCCGCAGAATGTCAGCATACTTGATGGACATGTTAGCATACAATGCCAGGATATCCCAAAATGCTGGAGCAAGCAAGGAGGGCTGAATCTGCAGCTCTTGGTGCATGGCGCCGCTGAGAAAGAGGCTTTGCACCTCCTGGGAGAAGTCTTCTATGTCGAAGGAATTCAAATACGCGCCAGGCTCCTCGGCTCTGCTCCATACAAGTCCGCCCAAGGCTAAGCTGGAAAGGGGGAAAAGCTTGGCACGTCGCTGTAGATCAAAGACCATCGAATCCCTGAAGGTGATCCATTGTTGCCGTGGCGAACCAGCACCTTTCCGTCCCAAGTCCGGACCGCCTCTCCAAAGCGAGTCAAAGCAAAGCAACCACCAGGGTGATGCCCAAACACCTGTCACAGCGGATAGCCTCAAACTTGCCTTTACACTCCGCAGCTCGGTTATCAAAAGAAGCAACTTGTCCACATCTTCGGCAAAGTCCCCTGAACCAGTTGCTTTGATGCTGCCTATCCCGTCGAACTTGAGAAAAGTGATGCCTGCGTCCATCAGGCTTAGGGTGGCATTGTGAAACCAGTCGAAATAGTGAAGACCGGCGAGCCGCAAGGTGTTTGGACTGGCAGGGCTGTCTCCGTGATACTCCAGTCCCATTGCAGCACCTACCTTCACTCTTCGCTTGCCACCTTCCCCAAAACCTCCCCAGGGCGAAAGCCATGCCCCGACAGACACACCTTTGTCGTTGGCAGCCTTTACAACTGCTGAAATACCTGATGGAAAGTTTGTGCTGTCGACTTGCCATGGCGTCCCAGCATCGTCCCAGCCATCGTCGAGCAGAGCGCCTGACAAAGCTACCCCTCGGTCTGACAGTTGCCCTTGTATCTCGGCAATCCTCTCATCCAGCAATTGTTCATTCAAGGTCTTTGCAGCTGAGCAGTGTGGCACGCCCAAAGGTGTAGAATCAACGCATGGATGCCGCCTCAAGTCATACCATGTTGTGTAGTGCAGGAATGGCTTCGGTGAAGACACCCGCACTTGATTCAAGTATGAGTGAAAGTGGCGTCGCAAAAGGAACAAAGATTCATCACTCGAAGTCGTGCTATGCACTCCAACTCCTGTCGGCCCTCCTGTCACCCCAAGTGATGCAAAGTATGGCACTCCAGGCGGAGGACTGTAAATCTCTGCAACCACTCGAGTTCCGTTGCCACGAAGGCCGTGTACCGCCTCACACATAGACTTCGAGACATGCGAGACATACGAGACATACAAAACTATGGAAACACCATCAACAGAGACCAGAGGTGAGGCTTAGGGCTCAAACTGTATTGCATACCCAAAGACCCCAAGCCCCTGAGCCAAGCGGCGCGCGGATGCTCCATTGCAACCCAAAGGCCTCTCCCCAAATCAATCAAAGGGCTGCCATCAACTTCACCACTGGTGCCAAAGCAGTCGTGGCTCTGGGTGGAACCGCATACTGCCAAAGCAGCCCCATCGAAATCCCACATTGTAAGGCTTGCCACAGCGATGTTAGCTTCAGGGGCATGGGTGTACAAGACCCTGACCCTCAAAGCTTCAGCCCCGCCAGCCAGTCGTATCAGCCCAGCAGTCCACTGCACGCTGAGCGATTTGGGGCACTGCAGCTCGATAGCCTCTCCAGCAATCAACTTCCACTTTTCAGCCTGTCTCTCAGACAGCAGGGCACTCCGCACCAAAGAGCAGTTGGAAGATGTCACCTTTTCCCCGGTAACAAAGGAGAACTCGAAGAGATTCTGCCATCCAAGATTGGATTCCCTCACTTGCAGTGCTTTAGGTGTCAGTCCGCGGGCTTCCTGCTTGCGCTGATCTCCGACCAGCCCACTTGTCGCTTCAGACGTCCAGCCCCAGGAGGCACGTAAAAACTCGCCAGAGGCTTCGAACTTTTGCCCGGTGCCCTCAAAACTTAAATCCTGTGGTTCTCCGCTCTTTGGCATCACGTCAGCGAGTTGCGCCTTTGATCGGAGAATATGTCTGGCAAAAGTGGCTTGCGCTGTCGAAACCCCAACAATGGTTTGACTTGGCTTGCTTTCTATTGTGCTCTTGCCGAACGCTGCTCCTACACCAGCCGCAGCGGCCGGAGCTCCAACAGTGGCTGCCCCTTCAGTGGCTGCCGCTTCAGTGTCTACCACTTCTGGAAGCGGAATATGATCATGTTCCTTGTCTTCCACTTCGGCCTCCTTTTGCTTCCCGTGCCACAGCTGCCAAACGAGAATCACTACGCTGGCATAGATGTAAACGATGGCAAGGCCAGGCTTTACAAAAGAGCGTGCGCGCTCTGGAGGCTGTGGCTTGCGCCTCGAAATGGTTGGCGAATCAAAGAGCTTGGAAGAATCCTCGCCGCGGCGGCCTGCCCAACCAGTACTGCGCTTTTCCACCATACTTTTCCAGCCCAGTGAGTCAATGAGCCTAACTATCCGTATCGGCTCTATTCAGTCTGCTAGTGTGTCCTGACCTGTATGTAGTACTGTCAACTGGCAGTATGTGTTCCCTATCCGTGAGTTCACTGGCAGTCATGTCCATGTATTTGCGAATGTTTGGCGTGACATGATGGGACAAAAAACGACAGGTTGTGCGAACAAACTGTTCTCATCTCGAGAAGCATGGCAGCACATAGTGACACAACAAGAGCAGCAAATCCTTGTGCCTGTGCGAATGCATATTGTAAAGAACACATATCACAAACATCTCAAGGCCGCAGCAAGCTTCGAACATATGTACAGCTCTGAAGTTTGACGGAACATCTTTCTGCTATTTCGGAGAGAGAATCTCAGCTTGACAAGCATCTTCACTGTCATTCGACGCGAACGCAGCAAAATCTCACAATGGTCAAAGAAAAAGGACATGTCCGCTCTAGCCACTGCCCTGTGCTAAAAGCCAAAAGACGCGCGGCAGAAACAAACCGCTCATGGCATGCCAAACTATCCTGACAAAGTGCACTGAGCTGATACGAAAGCCCAAAGAATTATGCTGCCAGCACTACCTGATAGGGCAGCTCAGGCTAAGAATATAACAAGAGGCTGAGAAGCTCTGCCGAATCTCTGAAGTGACAGCAGGGTCACGGATGACAGCGACCAAGGCCAAGTGCATCTGCCAATGGCACGCTCGTCCAATCTGCGAAAGTTACACTTGGAAGCCTGAGAGCGGGTACTTCCAGGTATCCCAGACCTAATGAAAGTGTCGAAACGAAGGGCAACGCAATCAAAGGAAAGTATCCAGTCTGGCTTGAGGTAGAGATGCTTCGATGATGTATGGGTGTGCAGTTGCTTTGTTGCCGCTCCAGCTAATTAAGTTTGTCTGTTGGCGCCCGAGATTGTACGGCCTCTTGGGGCTATGCGCTCCTGAAATACACAACACCCTTCCAGCGCATTTCACATGAGATGCCCTTGCTCAACCGTCTAAAGTGTAAGGCAACAAGTCTGCTGTTGAATCAATGCCCAGAGTTTGTTCGAAGAAGGCGGCCATCACCAAAAAAGACCAACATCAATCTGAGACTTTCAGATAACTCTCGGTGGCAGGTTCAGGGGGGATGCGCTTTGTGACCTCGACGTGCTGATCAAAACAGGGCTGCAAATGCTGGAACTTTTTCAGCCGCAGATCAAGTTGTCCACTTGCTAAGGGATCTCAGGCGTCTTCTCAGGGCTTGTTGCATTCTCCTCGCTGGCGAGCTGTTTGCCGCCCGTGTGGGCCTTTTTGCTTATCGCCTCCTGACAACAGTGTCAACCGGAAGATGCAAGACACTGCATGAGAACGCCTGGGCTATGGCCATGGAACCATAGTCCATCTTGCTGGCTTTCGGTGCAGAGATGTACCTGCGTCACCCTCTTGATTTGCACCAAGTGTATTGGTTGATCCCTTCCGCAACTAGCCAGCTAGAGGCAATGGATGGCAAGTCCGTGGGCAGCCGCAGACTGTGAATAAGTGATTGAGAGGCTATACAACATCTCACACTCCAAGTGGTCGCACTCGAAGTGGTTGCCGCGCACCATCACATTCCAATAAGCAAGAATCTCCACGCCAACTCCATAAACTGCCTTGGTCCACAAAGTAGGGAAATCGTGTGGCTACGTTGCACATCACGCCACAATGCAAATGCTACTAAGCTGTGGGACCATAATGGGTCCAAGGCAGACCAGGACTTCGAATACGACAATGCAAAGGACTTTGAAGTGTTGGGAGCCTGCCAGAGCGAATCCATATTGTTCACGAGTCGAAACTAAGCTTTCAAGCACAGGACAGGCCTTGAAAAGGTCCCAGCATCCAGCCTAGTCAGACTGACAGGCAGTAAAGTGGAGTCATGAGTGTCATGAGGGCACATCACAGCACAACTGAGCAAGCCGAAAGAGAAAGTTTGCCAGGGTCCAATGTGCCACTAGCACAGCGGCCCACAATATGTGGGCAAGGGCCAAGAAGCAAGCATCTGACTGATGGACAAAGAGGTCAGCGGTGCACCTCAACCCTGTCGCAGAAGGCCAAGCTATAAATGACAATTCCAACAGATCTCCAAAAACAAAAGCCACGCAATTCCACAAACACATGAACCCAAACACCAGATGACAAGTAGCAACAAAAGGTTCCTTTGCGACTTCTACACATGGCAAGAGCAACTGAACTGTACTTGATAGCGCGTAGTTCTATGTAACAGCACAACAACCAACACGTGGAACAAAAACAGGGCTTTTGGAGGTTGAGGTGATGAGACAAGTTGAAGCTGCAAGGCTCGGACTCTCCCATGGCTTGACGCCGCCGTCTTCTGAGTGCCAGATTGAGGCAACCTGCGCAAAACCATGAAACCATGCCAGAAATGGCGGACATGTCAAACATGGACATGTACTAGCCGAGCGAATTGTGCGAGCTGCCTTGGGCTTCTCTTTCTCCGCATTTGGCATCACGAAGCAGATGCTGATCATCAAGATGTTGGCAACCTCTCATGGCTTGAGAGTGCCGCTAAGGTGAATCGATTGCTTCAGGCGTGCCAAAAGGAAGCAGAATGGAATCACAATGGGCCAGGTGAGCACCTCAGCTTGCTGTTTGGCGACAGGATTCCGAATTTCAAGGAAGCGCACCCAAGCTCCGGCCAGTCCACAAAGAAGTGTGTCTCCTGGAGGACGTGGAATGCTTGGACACTCTAGAACAAAGATTTCTGCCTGTACTAGTCAGCATAAGCTGCTCAGGACCTGAGCGCTGAAATTCAATCAGCAGCATCCTCTGACTCCATGCACGAACAAATTGCCCAAAAGGAAGCGTCCTCTTTGGAGATTACTAGACTAGAAGCATCTCTCATGTCCTGTCCCTATCAAGGCCCTCTACCCGTTCTCCCTTAAGCTGGACATCACTCTTGCTCGTATACTTACTGCCGATGGCGTGTGCACGGGTGCGGACAAGGTGTGTGGGCGGGCGTGGTGTGCGTGTTGCATGTGGACTTCAGGCACTCGAATGATTATAGATGTGGCAAACCATCTTCTGCAACAAGGGCTGACAATGGGTGCACTAACCGGGGCACTGCCGTCAAATTCTCAGTCATAGTCATAGGAGGACCCAATGAAAATACTGATCGTGGATGTGCGCTACTTGGAGTTCCCAATTAGGGGGGGTGTTTTTTAGGGGGACCCTGAAATTGTGGTTCCTCTTGGTTTCCCTTTAAAACCATCAAAACAAAAAACTAGTTTGAGAAGCTCCCACACATCATATTATTCAAAAAAAAAAAACGGCAAGGGTGCAAGTTTCTGCACAGGGGGCCCTCTGTTTTCGAGCGCCAGTTTTCGGAGCCATCATTAGGGGGGCGCTCTGTGGACTTGCTTTTGGGTTCTCAGGCTCACCTTGTTGTGTATGTGCTTGTGTGTTCGCAGCGTGCTGAGGGTGCGAAGCTCAAACAACGGTCCAAAATTGCGCAGGGGCAGCTTAAACAGCATCTTGGTGACAGCAAGTCTAATGTCATATGTTCCTCAGCTCGCCAAAAAGAAACTGCATGATGCTACGGGTGTCGCGGTTGTAAGGTCGCTGCACCCAGGAATTTGCCTGCCGCTGGCAAACCAGTAGCAGGTAAGTACCTCTGTGTCTGTGTGTGTCTTTGCTTGTCGCTCAGACAAACGGAGATAATTTCGGAGGGCACTGCAAGGGATACTGCCTGCAGCGTGGCGACAATGTGCATCATAAAAGGCTTCAAGACCTCAGCAATTCACGTGGCAACGGTTCCAAATATTGGATAGATTCAGTGCCACACCACCCGGAACAGCTGCCAGAGGAAGCCTGGTCCCACTGAGGTTGCCTTGCAGTGGATTTCACCAGCCAAGCTTGTCATGACTCATATAAGCGCGTTCTCCATCCCTTGGCTTCGAGCTGGGAGAGAGCAAAGCATGTCCCACGCAGCAAGAAGGGCCTGGCAACGTGTCGAGCGCGTGGCACTGTCTCCTTTTGCAAAATCCTGGGCCGTGGGCGAATGAAAACTCTGCAACTCCTTGGGCGTGCCGTTTTGCCTGCGCATCGCACAAATAAATGCTATAACTGCACAGCGCGCGAGCCTGATTCCAACGCTCATACCATGTAGCCCAGTACCCATCAGGGGAAACGACGGATGTTGACTTGGCTGGAAGCATCACCTCACAACGCCAGCATGGGTCGCATGGGGCACGAGCAAGTGTGAAACTTACCAAATCTGATCGTGAACAGGAATAGCCTCCAATGTGACACCTGCAGTATCTGAGTAGCTCACTGGTCTGACTCTTACCAAAGCATTGGATGATGCCTCATCAGTACGGATCAAGCGCATGATGACTCGCCTTGATCATGATCCATCTTGCACGAGCTCTAACGCGTGAACGGGTGCCTCCTTCTTTCGTGACTCGAAAACAAAGTAAAACCAGGCTTTGAGGAACGCGTGGTGGTCCTGGAGGTCTGGACCAATTTGTGAAGCCAAAGCTTGTTTGACAATGCGGCATCTCACGTCCTCCGCAATGATATCCCCGTCCCAGCATTGCGCTTGCTCAGCAAGATTTAGGGGAAGGCTGTATCCACTGAAAACCTGGCACTGGAAAATGAACCATGTCTTGCCAAAAACCGAGGGCACCATGTGATGTCCGCCACAAAGAAGCCCGCTGACACCACCAAACTCCCAAAGGGAGCTGATGTATCTGGCAAAGCACGCAAAACAGCACTTGTCATTAGAGTTTTCCCTGGAAACGGAAAAGAATGTATCTTCGAGTAGCAAGGCACGCAAAATACATGCCAGACCATCCCCCACACCCGTGATACAGCAGGACCTTGACAGCTTGTCGGCTTTTAACAGAAAACATCAAACCAGGCTTCGGCTATGGGTAATGTTTGTGTCCATGACTGTCGATTGAACCTTTCAACTGCACGCACACGTGCGATCGAGCATGCGTAATTGCATGGGGTGAGGTTACAGTACGTCCACTGTACGGCAAGTCTTGCATCTCTTGCGCTACCAGTCCTTCTTGCATCGCTTGCGCCAGCTCTTGCGCTTGCGCTTGTGTAAGTTCATGCGTTTGCTTGCGCGCTCATGTGGTGCATGCCCGCTTATAACTGACGCGTTTTGCTTGCTCCTTTCTGCTAGTGCGCCTTTCGTGCGCTCGTTCTCTCTAGGCCATTCGCGTCTTGTTTGGGCTTCTTGCAATCTTGCCTCGCTGCATCCTGTCGTGCATCTTGACTCGATTGCATCTCGTGCATCACTCGATGGAATATCTTGCATTATGTCACATGTATTGCCTCGCTCTTGCCCTTTCCAGGTTTGCCCTGGATCCGCAGCTCAAAGATTGATAGTGCCTATCAGGCTGGTTACATGCTCTTCAAATATGGCGCGGTTGAACTCACATTCCCTCGACTCTCACTGGAAACAGAAGGTAAATGCATCTTCTGTATGCTTATTTCAAAAGAAAATCTCTGCAAAATGACAATCAACAACTGCAACACGATGACATCGACTTTGGACATGTTTGCCGCGCACACACAAGCACACAAACACACAGACGCACAGACACAGACACAGACACAGACACAGACACAGACACAGACACAGACACAGACACAGACACACACACACACACACACACACACACACACACACACACACACACACACACACACACACACACACACACACACACACGCACACGCGCGCGCGCACGCACGCACGCACGCACGCACGCACGCACGCACGCACGCGCGCACGCACGCACACACGCACGCACGCACAAACGCACTCACAAACACAAAACACACACCCGCACTTGCAAACACAAATTGCACACTCAGCGGGCCATCCTAAGATGTGGGCTCTCGTCCAGATTCCTCCATGGCAGTTGTGGCGCCTGCGCTCTTTGAGGGTCAAAATCACACTGTTGATTCTCACACGTGCCTGCCAGAATGTGCACGTATGCTCCTCGTTTCCTTCATCCTGCTTTGGCTTCCAGGACCCAAAGACAGCTGACCTCCGAGCGCCTTCAGTTTGGCAAAGCTCTCGTTGATGCGATGGAAGTACATTGGGTGCAGAATCACATCAGCATCAATGATTGTCAAAACCTCAGCAATCCATGGCCTTGTAAGCCGATTTCACGGCACACGTCCGTTTCAAGTCAATGTATATGTTGATCTCGCTTCCTGTGTTGAGTATTCGAGCAGCTGATTCTGTTCCTGCGTTGTCGCATGGGGAACATTGGACGTCTTGTTGTTTGGGCATTTGATACAAGTGGCATGTAACCAATGCACCAGTAAACAAAACGAGAAGCGGGTGACAAGGACCACAACAAGGAGTGTCAGAGTCGAAGTGTCCTGCGCGGCAACCTTGGAGCCAATGTGACCTCTCACTCGTTGAAGATGTAACTAAAAGGAGGATGCAGCCAGACAAGCGAACACTGCTCACGCTGCGCAGAGTCAGCCACTTTGCAGCCCTACAAAACGACAATATGGGCAGGCCAGGCACGAGGGCAAAACAATCGATTTCTTCGTATCTTTTGAATGTTGTGTACAATCGCACAACAACACTCCTTGTTACCAACAGGAACTGATCCTCAAATCTGTCACTTGAAAACAAAGTGCTCCACTCCGTTTCTTCAACGAAGGACTCGCCTTGGAACTGGACGAAGCAGGGCAAGATCGACTGGAAAGCCACAGAAAGGAAAAAGCCTGAGGGTGTCAGGCAGGCTGGATGAGGAAGACTCTGTAAACTTGCGCCAAGTGGTGGCAATGAGGAGCAGCATGAGCTCTCCAATAGCCGTACTCGCTTGCTTAGCAGACACGAGCCAACGTTTCTTTCCACCCTGAACCTACAAACTGTCGACAGCTTGCCCGGCGGTTGTCTGCAGCTACTAGTAGCTTGCCGACTGCATACAGCAGGCCCACACTGCACACAACTTTTCAGCTTGTCTGCCATAGCTGTCCTACAGCTCCATTACAGCTTCAGTTTCTCTGCGACCTTCTACAATTTGTTTACCGCTTGCCAATTTGTCCACCGCTTGCGTACAGCTGGCCTGCAGCTCGTCTGCAGTTTGTGCTTCATATTTTGTCTACAATCGTCTACAGCAGCTCGTCCACAACACATGTCTACAGTTGGCCTACTGCAAATTTACACCATGTCCGCAGTCTGCAGCTCGTTTAGAGACTTTGCAGTTTGCAAATGCCGTGCCCTACTGCTATTGAAGTGGGTCAGCAAAAACCCGGGGAAAAAACACCAACGTGGCTTTCTCGCGCTGTGCATACGCGGGTGCCGACGGACCAGGTGGCGCTCAAATAGCTCAACTGGAGAGACTGTAAGGCGCTGAGCTGAGACAGCCTGCGCGAAGAGCGGCTGGTTGGATAAGGATCGGAGAGTTTCTACGAGGTCAGCAGCTGAGCTCGATGCATCTTTATTTGCTGCCACTGGCTCTCCGTGCGAGGCAGAAAGGCTTGGAAGACAGTCTGGCTGTGGGCTTGGCAACTTTTAATGATGAAGAACGGCCATGATCTTCCAAGGCAAAAGCTGAGCCGAACGTTGACTTGCTACTCGCGTGCCCCCCTACACTGGATATGCTTCCCAGCGCAGCTGCTGAGGTAGAACCGCAGCAGCGCTCGGATTTCTGCGAGGCACAACACTGCTGCTTGGCCAAAAGCAGCGGCGCAATCACCACGTTCACCAGACCGCACCGCACGCTGCGGACCCGTCAGCCGTCATGCTGCCAATCCTGTAAAAGCGATGACAAAGACGAGGGAACCCAACCAGAAACCCGGCCAGAATGTAAGGTCGCCAACCCGGTCCGATCCTGGCACACTTCTCGAATGTGTGTGAGTGTGTGTGTGTGACTGAGACTGCGTCAAAAGGCCACGGCCGCTAGTTACCAGTTGATCAGCGGTCGGGCTCCGCTACCATGTCAAAGTTTATGCATATTGATCCATTTCTCCTGCCTGTGGCATGTACTTCCCCGGGATAGTCCGCGCAATGCGTGTCAGATAGTGTTGAATTTCGCAAAAAGATCTTGAGAGACTCAGGGAATCCCAGGGTTTCAGCCCGTTAGGAAACATCCGCATTGTCGCTTTCTCTTGAAATTCAAGCAGTCTGTCAATCTTTGGAGACATTGGAGTCATTGGCAGAAGTGTCGTTGTGCTGTTTGCGGCCTTCGTGCGTGGCTTCTCCTGTGCAAAGAGTGTGGGAGGTTGGAATAGCAAGCTTAAGATCCAAAAGTGACAGCACTTGTTTCTATTCTTGTCTGCTTCAGAAATACCAAATGCTGCCAGTGTACCAGTGACCCCTGCATCGAAAAGAAGAGAATTAAACTTTGCCCACAGTCCAAAACTCTTTACATACAAGCACGCAAACAAAGATTAGATAATTGGTGGCGTTCTGCACACTAAGCGCTCGGACGTCGTATTCTGACCTTTCTTGGATGTCCTCGCAGACCTGACCACTGATAAAGTGATGGAACCCAACTTGGTCCAGCCAGGCCTTCTTCACTGCAAATTTGACGTTTGACGCCTTTCCCTTCACTTCCGGGTCCCAACTGCCATCCAAATGCATCTCCTTGCGAGTCATTCGAAATTGCTGTTCACAACTGCCGAAGCTTGCTGGTCCTTGATTCCTTCTGGATGAAAGCAAAGGATGATCTCCGCAAAGTGGTCTTTGAAAGCTGCCTTGCAGGTGGCTTTTCCAATTGAGGTGTCGGAATGAAAGTACTCCACTTGTTTAAAAGTGTTTAAGGTGTCTCTGGGCCTGGAGTTCCTTGGCCTTCTGACTTCCTTGCAGCCCTTCTCTATCCTCAGATCACTGAGGTGGGAAACTCCAAGCGTATACTCCAACCTCCATCGCCAGGACAACGATGAAGTCTTTCGAGCCGCGGGCCTCACACAGTCCGACTCACGCTTCTCAAACATTCAAAGACGGGCCTCAATTAAACTGTTCAGCGTAACCTGCAAGATATCCTTGTCTTCCTGCATTACAAGCATGTTCTGGAAGGACCCATCAGGTGTCCACTTCTGGATTGGAGCAACATCTTTGGACAATGACGGCGGATTGCTCCTTGTAGTTGGGTATGGCAATGATGTGCCGAACCTTGGACCCCAACAGTGGCAAAGGAGCACACTGCACACACATGTGTGAATGTGTGACTTCTTCCTGGCCTTGTCTTGTGATCGCCCACCCTCAGGCGTGCCCTGCGGCCAACGGCAGGTGAAAGCTCAAATTGTGCATGCTCGCACCTTCGGCTCCGTCTCTGGCTGCTTCTCCGGCTGATTGTCAGATGTTGGCTCTGGACACATCTGGCCATCTGCTTTCGAGATCTCGTCCTGCACCACGGAGGAATGCTCTACTGCACTCCAGTGTTGATTGGAAACAAGGGTGGACATCTCTGTGCTGAAATCCATCCTTGCTCCGAGTATGTGGGTGCGTGGGTGGACGCGTGGGTGCGTGGGTGCGTGGGTGCGTGGGTAGAGTGGTACGTGGGTACGTCTGTGGCTGCGCGGGTGCGCGGGTGCGCAGGTGCGAACATGCGCAGGTGCACGAGTGTCCGGGTGCGCCGGTACGTGGGTGCGTGGGTGTGCACACGTGTGCACGTGTGCGTGCGTGCGTGCGTGCGTGGGCGGGCCAGTGGGCGGGTGGGCGGGTGGGCGGGTGGGCGGGTGGGCGTGCGGGTGCGTGGGGCGTGTGCGCATGGCACGCATGTCAGTGCGTGCGCCTGATGCCGGACTACCAATTCGTTTCAACCTGAGCATTTACAAAGAAAATTGAAGGCGTTTGGCACCAGTATTATCAACACTGCTAGCATCCCCAGCAGCTTGGTGGTCCAGGCCTCGCTTTGCGTGATGGATTCCCTCAAAGTGGTGTGTGCGCGTGAGAAACCAGAACTGATTCGTGAACGGTGGCTCCCGATGTGCAGATTCGAGGTCTGAAACTGAGTACGGCGGCACGAGCCCCGAAGGCAAGTTCTGATCTGGGCGCCCACTTTCGGAGGATTTTGTTTGGATCACTTCTCAACTCTGCATTCAGCTTCCAAGCGCGCTGCTCTGGACGCTGACCCAAAACATCTCAACCCTTCCGCGAGGTTGCCTTACTACACACCGCACTGTTTGCTACCATTCTATTCAACAAGTTTTCCGGGGAAGGCTGCACAACACCGGTCCTGCGCGACTCTCACGCCAAGGATGCAAGTGACAGCGACAGAAACGATCCATAGCCACATTGCAACATTCAATGTTGCAGTGATCCAAAGCAGCAGCGAAGAGCTCCTGCCATGGCACTATGAGAGACCACATCTCACACTGAAGCCAGTAGCTCCTGTAGACTCCCAGCGCCAGGAAACATACCTAGGCATTCTGCAACTCTAATCTGCAACAAGCCTGTCCCTCAATGTTTCTGCGAAGCAGGCAAAATGAAATTGGAACAACCAAAGAAAAGCTGGGCACTGGAAATCGACGCCCACTGTGAAGCAAAATCCAATGTGGGACGAAAATGCTCAAAGACCCTGGCAACAGCACCTCTGTATCATGGGGTGGAACGTTGCACTGACTAATGACTTCGGAGTCGGCCATTGCGAGTTGGGAACCGCGCGAGGGGAGTTGGGAATGTCTGAAGCTTTCTGGGGGATGCAGTACGCATGCCCAAGGCGCGGCCGTGTCGGCGGACAGACAGCCGAATGATGCAGGTGCAAGAAGGACCCAGTCGCACCCCCATTTGTCGATATTGGCGCAAGGGCCATGGTTTTCCCCATAAACTTGTCGTGTCGATGGACAACCGGCCATCAACGAAGCGGCAAACCCAGCCAGTGAGCGCGAACCAAAGACTCATCGGCAGCCCGATTTGTTTGCATGCGCATCACCAGCCAACGCCTTAAGTAGTGGGGCTGGGTTCCAACTTGCCATCCCGACCAGCTTCAACCACCTGCACTCCTGTTGGTCGATAGAAAAAACCCTACATAGCCCAAATGAGAACAATCGCATGGCCGTCTCGCGTTCCTGACTTAACATTATATGGATGTCTGAAGATACAGCAGCCCAATTGCGCAATTGACAAAGAACTGCGCCACCTTCACTCACCGCCATTCAACGGTGAACAGGAGGAGTGGGGCTCGACCTGTTGATGCCTACCATCCCATCCTACTCCAACGTCTCCTGCGACTTACAGTGCTAGCATTATGAAAGAGCAATCCAAGCAACCGGCTTTTCAGGCCCTACCTTACTTTACCAAAGCTTGAGAAAGAACTCTCGCAAGCTCTTTGTGACCTGCATCTCAGCTGCTGTGACCAGCAGAAGGCCAAAAGGAATAAATCTCACGATGTACGCAGCTGCTCTTTCCTGCAGGAAGATTCAGCTTTAGTCTGACTTGGGCAAATGCGGCATGATGATTTGTCTTGCCCAGGCAACGCAACAAGGAGGCATCATGCCTCATGTATGTTGACTCTGTAGAATTGTCGTATCGGATTCTTCTGGTCTGACAATTTCATCGGCTGGCATGCCGGAACACCTCAGCACATGAAGAGATGACAAGTGGCAAGCCAAAAAGTGCAAGCCCCAAGGGGCTTGGCGAATTGGTACAGTATCAGATGCGGTCATGTGCATGACGTGGATGAAGCTTCGAGCCAGCGTTGAGCCACAACAGCAATGCACGTCTCTCATCAATGGGCATGATGCAATTGGTGTGTGTGTGTGTGTGTGCGCGCGTTGTGCGCGTGTACTGACAAAGCCGCTTTGCAAGCGTTGCTCAATCATTGAACGTGCCCCAGCACTCGCGGGTTTTCAGGCCACGAAGAGTCACAATGCTAAATGTAACACTGTCGGGGGGTCTACGGCCTACATCCGCCACTAGCCATCTCAGTAAGGGCCTGAAGCTGGAAAGCAAGCTTCACAGTTGTACTCGGCCAATGGGTCATGTCATGCACAAGTGCGCAAGGTCAAGCTGTCTGGCCTGGACGGGGAAAGTTGCCCATGAAGTTGCCCTTGCCAAATCCCTTGGGGTCAAAGCTGTCCAAGCCCTTGCCATCAAAGCCCTTGCCCTTCCCATCGAAGCCCTTGCCACTTGCGTCAAATCCTTTGCCGTCTCCAAATCCTCCAAATCCTTTGCCATCTCCGAAGGGCTTACCAACATCACCTCAGAGACCGCACAACCCAAGCTCCAACTCGTCCTGCCCTTCGATTGATTCACGGCCCCGACTGCTTGGCGAATCATGGATGACATGTCAGCTAAGACTTGCAACACTGAGACTTTGATCATTTGTGCATGTAATGCCTTTGAACAGCTTGTCTCAAGCACACAAAACGCACCTCCTCCGTGCGCTTTGTTCGGCAGCTCCAGCTCGGAATCGCAACTTTCAGTACACGTGCAGCATGCGAAGTGCACTTTGGCAATGGTTCACTGCGCGTAGCCATGGTACTCATTGCGGACTCGTGTTGGACTCGTTCTGGACTCATTTGGGCTTGTTGCGGTTTGCACGTCCCGAAGCCGGCTGCATGCACAAGCTCTGCATCATCACAGTGGCTAAGGCTTGCTTTCGTTTCATCTCGCTTTGCATGGCTCAACTTTCAGGGTTCTCTCACCGTATCAATTGTTGATCGGTTGGTGTGGTACCCCAAAGGACATGGGAGAATTAGTGAGTCTCATCTTGATTGGGTGAGGCATTTTGTGTGGGTGCGGATTTATTTTGGGATTTTTGTTCAGATTTGTTTGGATTGGTTTTAAAATAAAAAATAAAATAAAATCGTCCGGGCTATTTTACAGCATTTTCTCGCAAAATTGACGCATTTTACACTAGCCCGTCAACATCCCCAGCATCGTTTTCAACTCCCCCGCATGTCCGACCAACATCCCTAGCATCACCAACAAATCGTGGGTAACAAAATCCAAAAGTAGCTGGCGGGTTGACAGGGTCAAAAAAATAATGATGCAAACAGGAGGGCATTTCAATCCCAGTAAAAAACAACAACAACCAAAAAAAAAAAAAAAAGCGGGGGGGGGTGGGGGGGGGCAGCCCGCCCCATGATGGTCGCAGAAGTGATGATTCGAACAGGGGTGCAATTAAATCTCTGCAAAAAGTCTAAAAACTAGCGGGGGGGTTGGGGGTGCAATTAAATCTCTGTAACAAATCTAAAACGTAGCGGGGGGTTGGGGGGGGGGGGCAGCCCCCCCCATGATGTCGGAAGAAGTGATGATTCAAGTAGGAGTGCAATGATTCAAGAAAGGGTGTGATAGAATTTAAAAGGCAGCGGGAAGGTTGGCGGGGGTGGCTTCCTTTATGATGTTCGAAGAAATGCATACATACAGACATACATGGATTACACAGACTACCTAAAATGTCGTATTTTGAAGCATTTTCTGGCGAAATTGGACGCTCGAAAAAGTGATGATTCAAACAGGGGTGCAATTCAATCTCTGCAAGAAATCTAAAAAGTAACGGGGGGGAGGCGGCAACCCCCCCCATGATGTTTGAAGAGTTGATTCAAATAGGGGTGCAATTACTCTGCAAACAATCTAAACAGTAGCGGGTGGGTTGGGGGGGGGGGTTCCCCCCCATGATGTCCGAAGAAGTGATGATTCAAATAGGGTGGTGGTGATGCTGATGATGCGGGAAGCCAAATCCAAAAACCAATGAAAGGGCGCAAAAGCCAAAAAAGCCCGAAGGATGCGAAAAGCCAAAGCCGCCAAAAGCCGCCAAAAGCCGCATAAACCAGCGAAAAACGGCAAAAGCCAAAACGCAACCCGAAGAGGAACTGGGAATGCAGAGGATGCGAAAAGCCAAAAGCAACCAAAAGCCGCATAAACCAGCAAAAAGCCGAAAAGCCCAGAAGCCCAGAAGCCGAGAAGCCAAGAAGCCGAAAAGCCCAGAAGCCCAGAAGCCCAGAAGCCGAGAAGCCAACAAGCCAAAAAGACAAGAAGCCAAGAAGCCAAGAAGCCAAGAAGCCAAGAAGCCAAGAAGCCAAAAAGCCAAGAAGCCAAGAAGCCAAAAGCGGAAAAAAAGAAGAAGAAAAAAACACTAAAATAAATACCCCTCCATTTTGTGTACCGTGTGTGCCTCAACACTCCTGTGCTTCCATAGATATGCTGGTTTTGCCAGTATTTGCACAGCGCTGAGTGCACTGCACTGCTCGCAAAAACTAGCATGCATCGCGCTGCTTGCACGGCTCACATTGCACTTTGTGCAAAACTGCTGTGTGTGATAGTGAAAACCTGACGGTGGGTTCAGGTACTGTGGGCCAACGCCTCGGTGCAACGCGCAGGCAGACCACTGAGGGAATGCACTGAGCACAAGGTACTGCAATACGCCACGTTCGGGGTGTACAGCACTACTTGCTCCACAGCGCTTGCCGCGCAGCTATCTGCATTGCAGCGCTTGCAGAGCCCCAACTTGTTCCATTTTATGGCGGGATCGGGCGTCTGATCAGCCGCACCCCAAAGGCCTAACTCAAAATGTGCTTTGAGATGTCGCTGAACAACCCTCTGCGGAGATCGGGTGGATCGAAGTGGAAACACACTGTTCTACATTGCCGAGGAATCCTCTTTCGGCATCAGGTGGGCCAAGCTGCAAGGTAAGGTACAAAATCACGACAAAACGCGTGTGCTTGATTGTGTTTGCATCACCAATCAAAAGTGCAAAAACAAGTCCAGGATTCGGACACTTTTTGGACACTTCAAGAACGTTCCAAACGCTTCAAGTGTGCCCATGAATCAATGCGTAAACGATTGTTCGGAACTCATCTAGTGCGTGATCAATCTGCAGACTCATGGTGCAGAATATTCTGCATGCCAATTGTCTTGTCATGAATGCACAAAAGACTGTCATCTTGAATTTGAGCTGTGGAGCCTTTGCCGAAGCCCTTCTTTCCCTTGTCGCCACCTCGCAGTTGCCGGAGCTTTGGAAACGCAACAGCCTTGAAATTGAGCTGACAGGGCCTTGCGACTTGCCCATGTCTCGAGGAGGAGGGGGAGCTGGCGGGGGCGGAGCGGGCCTTCAGCAACACCACCCTCTCCGATCCCCTCAAAGCGTTCAAAATTTCAGAAATGTCGCGAGCTCAGGAGCCTACGGTGGCGGCGCTGCCTTTCAAGGTCTCTGCGCTCGCGCTCTCGGCTCTCGGCTCTCGGCTCTCGGCGCTTTCACTCCCTGCGCTCTCTTTGCACTCAGTTTTCTGTCGTGCCTGATTCACTGTCATCCCTGGCCTCAGCATGTGTGTTTTCTGCATTGCCCTGCCTTGCCCGGCTGAGGATGTGGCATGCCACCCACCTGTTCTTTGGCCTGAGCAGGGACAAGTCAAGCAAATAATATCTCACATCCACAACGAGCCTGCTCCATTTGCTGCTCGTCTCCTTTCTTCAACTGCACCTGCTCCACAGACTAATGATCATAATGATCCATGCGGACCGCAGCCCTGGCCTTCAGCCATTTGCCCTCGACCGGAAATCCGTGCCTGGAAAGGCTGCCATTGAAAAACGGAATGCAAAGACTCAGCTGCCGACATTCCAGCTATAGCCGCCTGTGCTCGGTGTGCTTTACTGAAACACTCAAGGCAAAATGTGCCTGTGCAGAAGCCGGAGCGTCGAAGGACACAAAACCAAAGCCGCGAGGTCGTCCGCTATCATCTTTCTGCACCCTTGCAGCACTTGCAAGTTCATGAAGCAACTTTTGGGCAATCGCACAGACGTGATCGCGCGCCTGCAGCTTAAAATCTTTCCGAAGTGCTCAAAGTGCTGCCGAAGAATGTCTGCAAGGCTTGTGACATAGCCGCCCTTCCAGCAATGTTGGGAATACTGAGTTTGGCACGGTCATCCCAGCTGTTCGGAATGTGGTAGACCTGGAAATTGGTCGCATCACCAGAGCCACATTCTGAGAAGCCAGGCGCACGAAAAGATTCGCACCCACCGGACCAGATGTGGTGGAGCCAGTTGGGTCGCTGCCCTCAGCCACTCAAATAAACATTGTTAAACAGCATGTCTGTGCCGCGCAGAGTCACACTGCAGCGTTCGATCTGCAACCGGAGTTGCACCCCTCAAACATCTTAGCATCTGACGTGTGCTGCTGCAATGGCGTCTTGAGCTTGACGAATTGCAGCCTGTGCCTTGCATTTGTGCGCATAGCTTCAGCCACCCGCCCTGCCTACCTGCTTGCCTGCGCCCCGGGATTGGCTGTTCGGCTGGGAAGGCTTCTACCTCAGAATGGCCCAGAGCAGCTCGGACGCACTTTTGCGCTCCTGCCTACCATCATCTGCGCGGCCTGTCGCTGCATCTTCCAGGACAACAAGGCTTCCGTGCGAGTGACGGGCTGAAGGAAACTCGGGAGGTGGTTTCACCCATGTCGTCTGCCGTGTAACGGCGTGGTAGTAGTATACCTGCAAAGGCCCCCGTCGAAAGCATCATACCATGGCAATGCAGCACCTGGCCCTCCTTTGTGCGAGCTTCCTTCCAAGGGCTGTCCTGAGAAGGCATCACAACGCATTGCAAGCTTGACAAGTCTTCCCATCGCCTGATCATTTGTGCTTCTGACTTTGCCAAACAATCCTTCTCCCAAGGCCTGCGATCAAGTGGTTGCCGTCTCTGTGCGGCAATATGATGAGTCTCTTTGCGCAAGTCTACAAGCTTTGCCGAGAGGCTGCATCCACATTGGCACCAAGCAAAGGCTTGCCATCTAGCCGATCACGAGCAACCTTCGCAGATCTGAATTCGGTTCTGAATTCAGTTCAGCCACAAAACATCCAAGTCTGTTGTGAAGGAATCGCACAGCTTGCTTTTTTGTGACCGGAAGGCACCAAGGTGAGCCAAGACTGGACTCTCAGGCGTCATCCAGGAAACTGACAGCCTGAACACCTGTGACACACCAAAGCTCAGAGTCTAAGAATTCTGCATGCCAACCTGATGCAGGCAGCAGCTGCTGTGATGCCAGCTTGCACCGCATCCTCGCAAAAAGGCAGTGCTATTGTGTGCAGTCTGGGGGGGACGCAAAATCCGATCGAACGCAAACTAAAGTGGGAAGTCTATTAGAGCCAACCTGAACGTGGCCATCACTGATAGAGCTCAGAAGGTCCAAATCCTTCCAGGTCAAATACAAGTCTATGATGCGGTGCAGACTTGCTTGTTTCGATTGCAACCGTGACACTGGGCGGCTATTTTCTGACTGAAATGAACCGAAGAGGCTCTTTGCGCAATACGCAAAGGCAGGCTCTCCTCAAGCTTCCTTTTGCGTGAGCCTTCCGGTCGAGAAGTGGTCACATTGGTCATGCCTGCCAAAGCCTTACAAAAGCAATTCAAGTACCAAGCCACGCATGCAGAAGCTTGACCAACCAAGGTAGGCGCCTGCCATATGGCTTCCATGAATCCACCCATGAAGGCATCTCCAGCACCTTGACCCATGCAATGAGTTGCAACCGTAAGGACAGGGCAGTTGCCAAGACTACCACCCACATCATCTACAAACTCCTGGCAAGTGACTTGTGGTGCATATGAATATGCCTGCACAGGGCAAGCATAAGTACACGCCTCTGCTGGCACAGGTGGCACGGGGACAGTGAGTGGCTCAGCAGGTTCCGGACCCTTGGACTTGGCAGACTTAGCATGGTAGGCGTCGAGTCTAGCTGCGTCTTTCTGCGCTGAGCACTGCACTGCTTTGATGAAGCCGACACCTCTGCCGCCACGAGTACCAATCATCCAGCCTCGCTCCTTCCACTTTGCGATGACCTTTCGGACCCACACACCTCCACCCACCCTCCTGCCCACCCACACGCCAACACACCAACACCCACCCACCCACAAAAACACACAGACACACAAACACACAGACACGCAAACACACAGACACGCAAACACACAGACACACAAACACACGACATGACACGACATGACACGACCCGACACGAGACGAGACGACACAACACATGACACGACACGACACGTGCGCAGGCACGCAGGCACGCAGGCACGCAGGCACGCAGGCACGCAGGCACGCAGGCACGCAGGCACGCAGGCATGCAGGCAACGCAGGCAGGCACGCACGGAGGCAGCAGGAGCAGGCAGGCAGGCAGGCAGGCAGGCGGACAAACACGCAGGAAAGCGGGCAGGCAGGGCAGGCAGGGCACGCAGGGAAGGCAGGGCAGGCACGGCAGGCACGGCAGGCAGGCGCCCGCCCGCCCGCGCCCGCCGGCCCGCCGGCCCGCCGGACAGCCCGCACGCACACACACACACACACACACACGCACCTAAGCACACACTCTCGCACGCACATGCCAGCCAGAATAAAGTGCAAGCAAACTAGAAGGAAACAGGCGAAACATGCAAGACACATACAAGGTCGCATGGACGTAAGGCAAAGGCTAACATCGCAGCGTTGTAGTCTGTGGGAGCACACTGCGAGCTTTCCTTGGCAGGTTCAATCATGATCAAGTCTGTTAATGCTTTGGCCGAGCATCGCACAGCAGCGATGACCGAAGCCAGTGACATCACCTCCGCTTCATTGGCAAAGGTGAAGTCGGCTGAGTGGGCCGCCGCCTTCCCCCCACCATAGTCAACGTCCACATGCATGCCCAGCAAACTGCCTTGACTGGTGGCAGCTTGGCACACCATTCTGCTGCAACTGTCATTGCAAATATCGGAGTGACTGTACCTGAAGGGCACGTCAACCCCAATTCAAGCTTGCGCTGCTTTGGGATCATGTTGCTCAGTGCAGAGAGACACGACACTTAGCAGTGAGTACCTCCTGACCCGGAATGCTGCTTGGAACACCAGGATCGAACTGCTGCGGCTCCTCCGGGTGCATCATGCAGTGGCACTGTTGGTCGTGGGCATGTATAAAGCGTTGTAAGCATTGATGCAAACATGTTTAGCATGCCCAAACTCCACTTCGAAGCACTTTGCAGACACTTCTCAGGGACCCTCCAGCATTGCAAGCTAGACTTGTGCGCAAACGTTCAGCTCAAATGAGGGGTCCACTCCGTGGTTCCTGGTTGTCATCCTTGGACTCTGCCTCATTCCGCCCTGCATTTCAAGAACGTCCCCAGTCTCAACCCTCAAAGCTCCTTCTGGGTCTGCTTGCACGTAAAACCTGCACGTGAGGCCAGCTTTGATTCAGAGCCATGTGCGCTTGCATGGCAGACCCTGACGTAAGCACCACCTTGGTGACAAGCAGTCTGAGGTAGACGGGCTGCATTCGCATTGCAACAGCCTTCGGAAATTCGATTGCCACAGCCCAAGCTAAGCTGGCAGCACATGGTTGCGAGGCGCCTGCCTCACGAAGAAACGTGTGTGAGGCAAGTCCAGGCAGTCGGGCACCAGCAGTGGCTCGAGTCTTCTCTGGAATGATGAGCTGGATTCCAACCTGGCCATGTCATGGGCGATGCCTCTGACAGATTGTGTAGCTTAAGTGGAAGACATGGATCGCTTGATGCTGGTTGACTGCTAGCCAATCTTGGCTTCAAAGATAGACTGATGCATCTGGTGCCTCCAAACAAGTGGCGCCGCAAGTTTGTGGAACACTGGTGAACAGCGCAGCTACACGGGCATCACTCTCAGACTGTGCAACTGATCACCGTAGTTGTTGCTTCCATGCGACGACTGTCACTCCTGAAGGTAGATCTGACTTCAACTTTGGATGTGCTCTTCGACCTGCTTCATGGGTTTCCTACCTTTGTTTAAACTTGATGAACTTCCGTCAGGGCACCGAGGTGCCTGCTGAGCATCACAACTCTGGAATCCTCAAATATAGGGAGTCTGAGCTTGGTGAAATGGGTGCCCCGCAAGAACGGCAAAATCAAGACAGCAGAAAGGCAAAATTCAAACGAACTGCAAACTCAGAAGGCATGGAAATTTAAGATGCTCTCGAATCTGGTCTCTCGTCAGCTATTTTGCCATCCCGGGTTTTGGTGCAAGCAGCTCGTGGGACCGATACGCACGCCCAAATAACTTCAGGCAAGCTGCTTGCCACTCAAGTCAAGAGACTTGCTCGCACCAAGATGAGTGAGCATAGTACGGGCCTGGCAATTTGCCCCAACTGCCAAACAGATGTTCCAGCTCATGTTCGGCCAGCATGTCCTTGTTGGCTAGGAAGCAGCAACAAGTACCTTCCCAGGCAGGCAGCCAACTCCCTGTAGAAAGTATGCAAATTGGCGTGCCGGTGACATGGTCGGAGCCAGCAGAGTCCGGCCTGCATTGCGCAATGTAGAATACCGTTATGCAGCTGTTGCATGTGTTCTTCATGGAAGCCTGGCAACGTCAAACATAGGCTCCACTCCCAGGGTAGATAGCTCTTTGCGAAGCCTGAGAGCTACACTGAAACTGCACAAAAGCCCTTTGGCATCAAGTCAGCCGGTCCTTTCGCCAGCAGCATCCTGTCCAATCCTTCCTGGGGTGGCCAACTTGCAAACGTCAATCAATGGGCACCTACTCAGGCTCCAGCCAAGCATAATTCGGCGAGGAACGGAAGATGGTGTCTTTTTCTTTAGCCTGAGAAAACCGATCCATCGGGTGACAGTGTCCAGGCATGAGACCACGGCTGCATGAGCCATGTATGTTGGTAGGTAAAACCGCTCGTGGGCCAAATTCGATGTTTTCTCATGTTCCATCACCCAAGCTCACCCTTGGCAAGGGGTGCGAACTAAAGCAGTACGTGGTGAAAAAACACTGCACTTGGCAATCTTGACAAGCACCAAAAGACGTCTTGGTTTTCAGCTGCGAATGACAGCCCGGGAATCCAAAAGCATACATTAATGATTGTCCACCCGCTACGCACATGCTACGAAGCCAATACTGACCAACTTAATCGGAGAGCAATCAACGTGATGAGGCACATTAAATGTTCGCGGATGTCACAAATGCTTGGATATGCAGATGCTGACATGTCTCTCCATGCAACTGTCATGGTGTGCGCGAATGCAAGCTACAGCAAAAAGCTCCAGTTTCCCTCGGCCTCATCGCAAATATGCTGGCACTTGTGATGGTGGTCAGATTGTCAAAACCAAGCGTCAGCAGTTGGTTCGTCCTTTTCTGCAGTTTCATGCGTATGAGTTGGCTCCAGGTACTCAATTTGTGGCTCTGGGATCGACATGCACGATTTGCACCAGAAATTGCAAAAGTATACTCGGCAAGCCGAGAGACCACCAGGCACCAGCGCGCAGGCTGTTGGCAATGACACCGCCAGGCGAGGTGTGCGCCTGCATCATGCTGATCTATGCCAAGCGACTCTCTACAATTAAATATCTGCCTTACCTTGCCGCTTTCAGCCCTGGCCAGCGCATCATGCACCAAGGGCATGTGTTTCTCCTGTCGTGCATGCAATCGATAGCCGTGGGTGAACGAAAGTTGCAAATGCCTCCGCGAGACATTGTGTGTTGGGTTCCACCTTGGGCTCACACAAACAAAGATTATGCAGCAAACCTTTGTTGCGCCTGGTATCTGCTCAGAAGACCAGGGTCATCGTCCACAGCAATGACTACATCCTGCATTGGTCAAATCACACTAGGTAAGAAACCGGGCTCAGACTAGTGCCCCTGTCCAGCAAAACCTGGTCAATGCCAATGATCATCCCGGCAGCAGGCATGGACAAAGCCCGCACACATAAAACTACGTACTTGTGTATGTGTGTGTTCGTGTGCGTATATGCGTACGCTGCAAAAAGCGACCAGGTATGTTGCGATCGCAAAAGCGGCTTTTGACCTTTGGTTTCACACAGGACAGCTAGAGGCGTAAACAAAATGACATGTCGATTCAGATGGCATGCTACGTTTTGAAACGCTTGAGCCACCGTCACAGCATGCACGAAGGGCATGAATTTAGTGAGCGCAATGTAAGCTGTCATGCGCTGCAAGAATGCAGCCAGTAGCCTTCGCAATCTCTGGTGTTGCGAATGCCACTATTGCCCAACCGGGACCTTCTGGGTCTGCAGGTCTGAAGCTGACCTGCACACATCCAAACGGCAGCTAACTATCTAAGACAAGAAGCGATTGCATCAAGAACGGCGTAGTCAATGCCTGGAGAAGCTCGTCTGGTCTTCCAGCTGCGGCAGAGATCTAGCATGCCAAAGCATGTCTGCAAAAGATGGAACCATAGCCCCGAGCCTGCTGCTCAGTTGCACCCTCAGGAATTCTAGACAGGATCACCTGGACAATCGGCTGGACCAACGAACCAAAGCTTTGGAATAACCAGGCAAGCAGCACCACATTAGTCAGGCCAGGAGCAGGTGCTCCTATGGGCCCCATGGCCTGTCAAACTGACTGTCCCCACCGTGAAGCAGTGAGGAGCAAAGCATCTCGGTGATGACATTCATGCACCAAGCCTACAAAGGTGGGAACTTGCTGCTAAGATAGCATGATTAAGCCTCCGAGCCAACACTGCTGTCACACAATGATGTACTCAAGAAATCTTCTGATCCCTGCCATACAAAGGCAAACGCCTGAAACGGTGATAGACTCGTTGCTCATTTGCATCGTTTTGGTTATGTCTCGGGGATTCAGTGCGAGGAATTCCCATGTTTGGCTTCTTCTGCTTTGAGGTGCGCTTGTGGGTATGCAATGACGCCTTTGGGTTTTCAAATCCTTATGCCGGCAAGGCGAACTGGTTTTGGTGTGCAGTGCTCTGACCAATGGCATGCTGCAGGCAACAGCTGAAAAGAACATGCTTCGCGTCCTTTGATTTGGGCCAAGCGGGGACCTTATATTGTGACTAACCACTTTCTGGCGCCCTGACCTGCAGATCTAGTTGCGGCGGGCGACCCAAAGCAAAGCACAGCGCCAAGGAAATGTGTTTTCCAAACACACGTTGAAGTGTAGCCAGTGCGGTGCGCCGCGTCTCATAGCATTTCTAATGTCATGAAACACCATCTGCATGCTCGTATCAATCTCTTGATATCTGCACATGGAGAGCTGTGAAGCAGTTGCTCAAGCTAGTTTTGCTCGGTTGCCGGACGCTCAAAGTGCTTGCTTTTTGTACCCCGCATGGTTGCCGATCAGCACAAGTCGCGCCGACTCTGCGGCTCGCACAAGCACACTCTGGCCACTTGCGGGTTGAGAGGTGCCAAGGAGTTCAAAAAGGTTGCTGGCCCAGACGCAGCTCAAGCCTAAGAGCAAGGTCGGGGAAACGGGGCGGCAGCTGCTCGTAAAAAGACGGCAAACCTGCCACGAAGAAGACTACGCTCGCCGCAGCGAAGTGCAGAGCTGCAGCTCGCGAGAACTGTTCCGGGGACAAGAAGACACACGACAAGATGCCCCATAGACAGATGCCCAATAGACAGACAAAGGTGCTTCCTACGTGGACTGAATCAGCTAAAAGCTGCAGCAGCTAGGCTTTCTGCAAGTGCCGGACCACTGCAGCAGGTGCCAGGTCGGACAGGTGCTTGCTGCTGACGGCCAATTGCATGCAGCTGCAGGACTGGCTCGAAGGAGTGCAACGCTACCACCTCCAGCCGAAAGCGTTGTTGGGTATCGTGCGCACCACTTCCAAGACTTACCAAGTCACGCTTGGCCTTCGGCTTGGCTGCAAGCGCCAAGGTTTCCGCCGGTAGTTGTAACCTGCTGGATTCTGTATGCTGAGCATTTCCAGTCAGCGCAGGCTTCTGAAGACTACGACCTCTGCGCTGCTGCGATGACTCAGCTGAGAAGCCTGGAGACGGAGCAAGTCTACGACACGGAGAAGTGAAAGTTAAAGAGATTCATTGAGTGCGATGCCACATTGCTCCGCAAGATGGCCATTGGCATCAACAATCAGAGCCTGTTGCAAGAGATAGGCAAGCTGGCGCGAGGACGTGCCTGAAGCCATTCTTCTTGTCGGATCAGCCTTTGCCCCTGAATTGTGTTTGCCCAATTAAAATGAATGTGACATTTCACAAAGTGCTGAAAAGGCTGACAATTGCACCAAATCACATGGCTGAACAAGTGCAATTCAGCGGGGCCGCTAACAGCCTCAAATACGCCTGCTCAGCGCTACTTACACGCCTGCCAATGGTACGCACATGCTCTTGTGCACCCACACAGCCAATTGACCAAACACCCGCGCAAGCGCGCCCGCTCAGCACTGCACAAACGCCTGCCAAAGCATAAGCACTCCCGTGAAAGCACGCCAGCTCAGCACATCGCAGCTTGGAAAGCAGACGGCGTGAAGGGCAGAAAGGGCTGATGAAATGTGTGTTCATATGTTGTATATTGTAGACAGTCGTTTTCCTTTTTTGCCGTTGCGGCGCCTTCAGGTGTAGTCTTCATTTGCAGTCTACAGGTGCAGTTTTCCGTGTTTGCGGGGCTCAAATCCATCTTGGACCACACAATGTACATCATGTGAATGTGTTCTTTAAGGGTGCATGTGCTGCATGTGCGCTTCTGAAACCCTGGGCATGGGCTTTTTCGCCTACGCGAGCCTTCCACTTTGCTCGTTATCTTGGCATTCGCGAAAGGTGGCGCAAAATCTCGAGCAATACAACATATTTGCGAACAGGGCCGGCAATTTCCAATGCTAGCTGCAACACTTTTTGTAAAACACCAGAGCTCCTATCAAGTCTGGTTTGGAGGATGCCCACTGTTGCGAAGTCTGTGAGCAAGATCTCTCCATAAATAATAAACACTGTGCACACACTCTCGCAGCTTAAAAGTTCTTTTTGGTTTTTGCTTGCATGGCGCCTCAAATATGCACCAACCCTCACAACAAATCTTTTTGACAGAAAGTGCAGCCACCTTCCAACAAAAAATTATGCATACGTTTCCTGGAAAGAGAGCCGAGTGTTGCGAGCTCATCTGCCTGGACAAGCACGATTCAACTGTTACTTTAGACACCTTCCGCTTACCGGCCAGAACGCATTTGACAGGGCGTTCAGACAGAACTTTGCTGCGTTCTCACACCACTTGTTCGGCTCCTTCTGGAAAATCATAACGAATGTTTGCCCACAGCGGAGCTATAACTTGGACATGACGCGCTTTAACTAGAAGATGGGTGGCCCGAAAGAATTAGCAGCGGCGGCAAGTTCTCCTAGCAAGTTCCCTGCGCAAGTTGCTCTGAGCCAGTTGTTGGCTCGAGTTCCCCTGCCCAAGTTCTCCAAGCAAGTTTGTCTGTGCCAGTTGGTTGCTCTGAGCCAGTTTGTTGGCGTTCCTCTGAGCAAGTTCTCCGAGCAAGTTCCCTGCGCAAGTTGCTCTGAGCAAGTTGTTGGCGCGAGTTCCTCTGAGCAAGTTCACCACGCAAGCTCTCTTTTCAAGTTGCTCTGAGCAAGTTGTTGCCGCAAGTTCCTCTGAGCAAGTTCTCCACGCAAGCTCTCTTTTCAAGTTGCTCTGAACATGTTGTTGCCGCGAATTCCTCTGAGCAAGTTCTCCACGCAAGTTCTCTGTGCAAGTTGCTCTGAACAGATTTCCTCTATTCGCATGACACTTTCGTACTTAAAAGTTGCGCCGGAGCTGCGGAAGTGTACTTCGCGTACTACTTTCATTATTGAAAGTTGCGATTTCCAGCCGGAGCTGCGCAAGTTTAATTCGCGTAACACTTTCGCACATAAAAGTTGTGGTTTTCCACGCGGAGCTGCGAAAGTGTACTTCGCGTACTACTTTCGCACTTACAAGTTGCGATTGTCCAGCCGGAGCTGCGAAAGTGCACTTCGCGCGCTACTTTCGCACTTCAAAGTTGCGACTCTCCGGATCTGCGAAAGTGTACTTCGCACGCGCATACTACTTTCGAACTCAAAAGCTGCGATTTTCCAGCCGGAGCTGGGAAAATGTACTTCGCCTACTACTTTTGTTCTTAAGAAGTTGCGATTTTCGAGCCGAAGCTACCACGGACCGGGGGGGATCGAACCCGCGACCGCTCGATTGCAAAGGCAGGCGCGCAAACCGTGCGACAACTTCCCGTTCGAGTTTCGGTGGCGGAATGTTCTTGCGAGGAAATGTTGTTCATGACTGACAGCGGCAAGTCGACACCTGTGGGATTCGAACCCACGCGGGGCAAAGGGCCATTTCGCGAGCAGAAAATCGCACGGCGTCACAGCGAGAGCGCTTCAACACGCACGATCCCCGCAGAGGGTCGCGCGCGGATCGTCAAAAGCCCTCAATTTTTAAACATCGACCACGCGGATCTCCGCAGAGGGTCACGCGCGCAAATCAGAAATCGTCAAATGTCTTCAGTTTTTGACATTGACCACGCCGATCTCCGCAGAGGGTCGCAATCCCGAGCGATGACGGCAACCCCACCCCCCCGCCTGAACAAGATGATTCTTATTGCCGAGCCCTTTCTCGTTCTTTCTTTCGCGCGCGTGAAGTATCTTCCATATGAATCTCAAACTTAACTTACACAGCTGCTGATACCGAGCCTCTTGCTTGGTGCACTTAGCTCTACACACTTGGCTCTACACACTTGCCTTTGTACACTTGGCTCTATGCACTTGGCTCTGTGCGCCTGGCTCTATGTGCACCTGGCCCTGCGTGCCCTGGCTCTATGCGCTTGGCTCTATGCACTTGGGTCTGCGCACCTGGCTCTACGCACCTGGCTCTACGCACTTGGCTCTATGCACTTGGCTCTATGCACTTGGCTCTACCCACTTGGCTCTGTACACTTGGCTCTATGCACTTGGCTCTGTGCGCCTGGCTCTATGTGCACCTGGCCCTGCGTGCCTTGGCTCTATGCGCTTGGCTCTACGCGCCTGGCTCTACGCACTTGGCTCTATGCACTTGGCTCTATGCACTTGGCTCTACCCACTTGGCTCTGTGGACTTGGCTCTGCGTGACCTGTGCAACTTGGCTCTGTGCAACTCACTCTGTGCAACCACACTGCGTAATGTAGTCCAAGGGCTCCGCGCGGAAGAACCCTTCACGATGCTTTTGGGAGAAAGTAGGAATTTGTTTCCTTTTGCGCTTTCCGGGTTCGCTGACAGCCAGCATCCTTCACACACTGCAGTTGGAATTCACAAGTGATCTGCGTGCGTGTCAGGCTGTGCGTTTGCCGCCTTCAGAACCGCAATTGCAGATGTGTTGTTTCCGAGAAAAACAAACGGATTGACCCAAAAGCGCGAGGTGCGCGATCTGTTCCGGCAAGAGCAGCACGGCTCATAGCCAAGCTGCAGTGCCCCCACCACACGCAGCAGCAGAAATTCACATAGAAACTCCAACTACAAAGACCACGAATCAATCTCAGAGCGCGCCATTACATTTGTCACTTCATTCTTGCATCTAGAAAAATGTGAAACTCTCACTTTCCCATTCGGGTAGTGCTACACCCATAGATTTGCACGTGCTTCGCACGCAAGTTCACAATGGCGGCTGCGGAGGATCTTGCAGTGGCGGAAGCTCACGAGCCAGGCCTCCACGTTGCCTGAGCATTGCGCATCATGTGCAAATGCCGCGGGGGTTGCAAAGCCCCCACAAACACGGCAAAGTGTTCCAAGCTGTGGACAGCGGAGGAGCTGGCGACAAAGACTCCTTGGCAAATCCGACTTTGTGCAACGCTCAACTGCCTGCAGCGAATCCCGAGGTACGAACATCGGTAATGGACTTGCGGTGCTCTTCTGGCATGTCCAACGGCCAAATGGTGCCAAATTCAGAAGGAAGCGCACGCGCATGCACGCGTGCACGCACACGCGCACGCACGCACGCACGCACGAACCTCCAACCCCACCCCAACCCAAACACCCACACCAAGACCAGGTTTCTCTGAAGAATCAAGGTGTCATCAGATGGAGAAGCATGTCCTAAAGCATTCGCCTGGAGCGGTTGGCGCGTTTACTGTGGGTTGTTGCTACTCTTCGCGGCGCGCGACTCTCTGCGGTTGGCGTGCAGAAATTGCGGTTTTTTTTTACTTTGCGATCAGCGGCGCGACCCTCTCCGCGAGTTCCCTTGAGTGGCTGGGGCAGCAAGATGCGCCCAAGTTCCCGGGACACATCTTTGCTGGGTGTCAGCTGTGCGGCCAGCAGGTGTTGTTTGGGCACATCTGTGCTGACTGGCAAGCCGACGCTGGGCAGGCAGTGATTTTTGGACACACAGCTCATCTTTGCTTGGCGGCCAAGGTCTTTCCCTACTGCCCCCTGCTGAAATCAGAGCGGAAGTGACTGGGAACACGGACACTCGCGTGTTGCCAAGACGAAGATCCTCGAAGCCCCTGACGCTTTGCGTAGCCAGGGGCGGTTGGTTCAAGGCGGGCCCAAGCCCAGCTAAGCATGTTGAAATGGCCTGGGGCAGAACAAGGCTTATCCAACAACCAACCAACCAATTACAATGTCAAAATGAGATGCGCAATGTCTGCACGGCAGGAATGTCAAAGTCAAGATGCCCAATTTTGGACGGATCGTTTGTGTCGTCGGAACATGACAACTGGAGTTGGTCATATGGAGAGAAGAAGTGATCTGATTTCAACCGTCCTCGCAAGTGACCCAAAATCGTCGCCCTGCCGTTAGCCGGGCTGGTGGGGACAGACGGAAGCACACCCTGGAATGTGTGTTTGCGTGTGAGTCTCCTAGAACGGAGGCAGACTTGCAGCTTTTCCTAGAACTACAACTCAGGGAACCACAAGAAGGAAATCAAGCTATTCGCTGGTTCTAGTTTCGGACCTTCCAAACAAGCAGAAAATGGGTTAAAGAGGCAAAGGCGCAAGCAACAAAGAGTGAGGTTGTCCAGCGTCGGGGGATCGCTTGGGTCGTCGGAAATTGGCTCGTTTCTGTCGTTGCAGCAGCCAGAATCAGGTGCGCGCACACGACAGCAACATGATAACACCAGCGGACGAAAGGCAGCTTGAATACCGTGGCCCTTCCTTCGCTTCCTCCCAATGCTCATAGATGTCAACAAGGTTCTGCGAAGTTGCATTTTTTGAGCTGGAGCCGAAAATGGGAGTTTCGCTCCACACTGTACTTGGCTACAAGTTACGATTGTCAAGCTGGAGCTGCCAAAGGGTTTTCGCGTGCTGAACTTACACTGAAAAGCAACACACTCGCGTATGTGAGTGTGCCAACAGAAATGTGTGTGTGTGTGTGTCAATATCTCAGTTGGAAGCATAGTCACAGTGATTGGGGATGGACCCAGAACGTCAAACAGGCCAAAGTCGCCAAAGGATTCTCGAGGCCTAGGCTCGAAAGTTCAAAGCTAAGGCTACATCAGAAATTGAGGTCTCTGCGATGTGAAAGCCTGGGATGCAGATGTGCGATATTGCCATTCAGACCATGGCATCTGGTTGTTACAATCTGGGTTGTGACAGCCACGTGCTAACGCAACCAATGCTGAATTGTACTTTTATTCTGCATCTAGGAGTTCCTGGTCAGCCTTAACTTTGCCTGACCCTGGCTGCAATCGTGGCTGTAACCTTGATGCTGGGACCAACAATCAAGAACAACAAATAACTTAACATCCAAGCAACCTCAGCGTTGACAGGCTCAAGATCGGAATCTTCAATCAACGGTGGCGGATCCTGCACACTGGCAAGAACTAGATGCACAGAAATTGGACCTGATTGACAATCCTGACACAGTCCTCACCGCGTAAAAGCGCTTCGTTGCGCTTGAGAACGCGTTCAGCCCGCCGGCGGCCTCGATTGCTACCACTGATTTGTTCTGTGAAAAAAATGTTCACATGAAGTCAACACAAACGTGGAGCTAAGGCTAAGGCGTTTCTCTGCTAATCGCTTGATCTCTAGGCGCTCCTGGACCAAAAACCCTCTGCAGTAGCAAATCTTGCAGATCTGTCAAGTCCTTCTCAGCAGCCTCGTCTTGAGCTTCCCGTCTGCGGACTTTGTCCTGCAACTTTCAACCCGCAAACTGGATCCAGGTGCAAAACTGCCCTGCAATCGCCCCGAAGCAATGCATTTGGAGATTGCTGGCCTCAATTTCAGTCATATGTTGTTTGGCGTCGCTCATGTCTGCTCGCACTGCAAGTTGGCGAACTTCTGCCTCCAGAATTTGTAACCCGTGGTGCGTGGTGTGCACGACAGCTGCCACGCCTTTGCCGCAATGTCTTGGATCTGTCGGAATCCCTCGACATCGTCTGGCGATGTTTTCACTGCAATGATCCATCGCAAAGTCGGAATCAACATGCAAGCAGTGGCGGTCCTGGACGCTCATGCTTTGTTCGCGCAAGCAAGGCTTGCAGATCAGCCAGTGGTTCAGGGAGCGAGACTGCCAAATGACAAAGCCAAGGCAAAATGTGAAGAAGCCGCAAACATAAACGCCAACCGGCGCGAGCCTGTGAAGTCAATTCTGTCTTGCCAGATTTCCAAGTCCGTCCATACCTGGAGCTTGCAAAAGGAATATGCCCCTGCAGCATCTATTGTGACAATCAATAGTTGAGGCCGTGTTTCATCAAACAGAGTTATGAGAAGAACCATGATTCTAGTCAATATTGAGCCTTGGCCTTGCAACATTCTGTTACATTGACGGCAAAGGCTGAGCCTTGGCCTTGAGGGTACATGATCTGAGCTTATCATTGCAGGATCAATTTCTAACAGCTTGTTTTGGTCGGACTGTTAAATTCTAGATAGTGAGCTGCAGCTATCAACGGTTGGTGCGGTGCGTGCTTGACAAGCATGTACATTGCACACAGAAACACGCACAGCCCAGCAACATCGGCGGCGGCGGCGGCAAAAGAAGCCGCATTTGCATGCCTCTAGAACTGCAGACTTTAGAAGCCGCATTTGCATGCCAAGGCCCGTAAATGGAAAAATTGACATTGTCGCAGTACAACAAACAAGATTCTAGGAAAGACTTGGGGAGGTGTTGTTGATATCTACACTGGAAGCCCAGTACAAAATACATCAGGATCAACAGAGAAACAACGTAGGTCAAACCAGGCAAAGTTAAACAAGGAGCTTACAATGACCTTGACAAGCTACAAGCAAAGCAAGCCCCGTTTGCACACAATGGGCACGGCTAGAGCTCCCAAGTCAAAAGCCCAACTGGAAGCCACACCGCCCAGGCTGAGCGACAAGAACAACCGCCAAAACAACTGCAAATAAAAATAAATAAAGCATGTTTGCTGAGTCTTTTTCAAAAGCGAAACGAGGCCAACGAGTGGTTCTCCATCACAATCCATGGACCTGAAGGAGTCCTGGCTTATCCGAAAGAACTTGTGCAAATCAATCCACGAGATACCTCACCGAGCAGTGGGCATGCTAACTCATTGAAAGCACTGTTTCATGCAGATCAGAACTGAACTCAACATGAGACAGAAACCAAGACACGGAAGGAAATAAGTTCAGCAAGAGGACCAGGAAGAGCGCGACAAAGAACAGGGTCTAAAAACGTGCAGCATACAGAGTTCAAATCAGCGACAAAGATAAGGAGAACGCACCGGCATGAGGGTCAGACATGTCAATGTGCTGGCATGCTAAGCCAGGACAGCATTACAGACATTGGCAAAATACTTATTTCAAGAAAACGCTGAGGGTGTGAAGCAAAGTTTGCCATGTCAGGCACACTGCTTGCTTGACCAAGCATTCCAGCAGAAACGCATGCGTTTGCATCAAAGGATGTTGTCCACAATGAAGCAACACCCAACACATCAGCCAGAAAGCCGCCAAAGCAATGCCGCCTGGCAACAACTCGCGCCAATCAAGAAATTATAACACGAGGCCAAAGAAGCCCGCAAACCAGTCACGTGCAACAAATGACAATCAATGTACTTGTGCCCAACAAGTCAATGTGCGCCTGCGAGGGGACTTGAACAGCTAAGTACATCCTAAATAGCAGCCTAAATTGCCCTTTAGTGTGTGTTTGTGTGGGTGTGTGGGTGTGTGCGCGTGCATGTGTTCCTGTCTTCTTTGAATTTGCGGACTCCCATATTATGACGTTTGAATGGCACGTCTCCGGTACGAATCAACGCAAGCATTCTATCATATCATACCAGCCACGCTTGCATGCATCAATGTTCTCAAGGGCACTAATTCTGCCCAATGATGACGCGCATCATTGCGTGTCGAAAGCAGATGCTCTATCTCCAAGTCTCGTAGTCTTTGCCTGATCCATAGCTCCACTCCACAGGACACATTGATTTGGTGGCCACACATCTACTTCATCAAAGGCTGTCTGTCAAACTTGCTGTATGTACCGCGGCCTCTCTTTGGCTCCTGCATACCACTCCGGAGAGAAGGGTGGCTGCCCATTTGTGAGCTTATCCGGTACCTCTGACACTTCGTGTGAAAAAGTCAAAGCAGTCGAGTGCAGAAAAGCAGTCGCACTCCGGCAGCTTCGAAGAGACTCTCAAGGTCTGGCGGAGCCTGCGGTTCTAAAAGTGGATCTGGACACCTATGGTCACCCATGGTCACCTATGGTCACCTATGGTCACCTATGGTCACCTATGGTCACCTATGGTCACCTACGGTCACCTATGGTCACCTATGGTCTATCATCGATGGTGCCATCATCTATCATGGTCCTATGTTCGGTCGCTCCTCCGGTTCCTTTGGCTTCTGGCCATAGACCCATCCCTCTTCCACCGGCAAGCGATCCACCATCACGCAGGACAGAAATGTTGCCAACTTTGCCAATCCTGACATATCAGCCATGTCTAACCTTGTGATGATGGAAACATGTTTACAGTGCATCCGCAACCTCTAACTACGGCCTCGTCGAGCCACGAGTGAGCGAGGCATTGCCATTCCATGGGAGGCAAAGAAGTGTTGATTTAGTACAAAGCAGTCGAGGTATAACCAAGACGCCAAACATGCATGTTTGGACTGCAAAGTGTAGGAAAGATCATACATCTGCCCTATGTGTCTGTGCCTTTGGCACATGCAGTGTGAGCCGGATGTGGCCATCCTATACTCTACGTGCAACCGTCAGGCACCGGCGTGTCAGTTCATCTCTCATCTGCAAGATACAACTGCAAAATAAATCATGACAAACGTCTTGCGAATGCCTGAATTTCAGGTGAAACGCAATCTAGGCGCTACAATGCTCTCAGCCCAAAATAATTTGGCTCCTCAAGGCGCTGCCAAGGTGGCCAAGCAAAGTAATGTCCAGCCAATTCAACGCAAGCTCTGAGGCAGATTCGCATTTCCATATCTTGGAGCCTCCTAGGCATGAGTTCATGCAGAATAGAATGATATAAAATGCATAGCCCTGCGGGTCCCCGAGAGAAGGGATGCGAGGCTGGGGCATAATCTGGATCAGGCGGAAGAGCACGGAGGTGGGCAAAGTTGTCTGCCACACCGCACCTCGTCGGCGGAATGTCGACCCCAGAAAAATCACCTGGCTGAGTAGTGGGGAAGTGTTCGCCCCCAGAAAGTGAAGGATCCCTCCAAAATGGGCCACCAGGAAGGTTCGTACATCCTGGGACTTGCATGTATCTTTCATCACCACATCAAAAATGGCCCTTCCACTTGAGACGCTCATTGCCAACGTGGTGAGCTAAGTTCTCAAATGGAAAGGCAAAGTCAAAAGCCACCTGAGTCGCTCAAGTTTTCAGTCGGGCACATCCATTGAACATTGGAGCATCAACTAAGATCTCAGCGAGAGCGCCCTGGTGCGCGAGACGCCGCTCCTTGAAGCATGCATCTTGGACATTCATTATTGCTTGCAGAAAGCACCCAGCCTGCCAAAGCCTAGAATGGCCGACTCTTTTACGGTGTCAGCCAGCCCCTCGTGAAAGAGGTTGGATGTTCTAACCTTAGATCAACTTGCATGCGCTTGTGGTGCTCAATGCGTGTTTGTGCCAACCATGCCCCGCCGGCCTCCTTTTGCGGTGCTGGGTGCTCAAAGAACCGATGCGTGGAGTTTTTGATTCGATGTCGTTCTTCTCTGTCGTGCTCAGCAAAGGTCGCCTGCCATCCATATCAGTTCATCAAAGTGTTGGTCAAGCTGATACCAACATCCATGTCGTGCAAGCATGAGCATGATTCGTCAAAAATGGCTTCGTTTTTCTTTTTTTTGCTTTTGTTCCTTTATGGAGATGTACCGCTGTGTTTCTGTTGCTTGTGCTGCCAACATGCAGCAGCTTTGGGCAAGTAATGGGTAGCTCGCTCAGGAAAGCAAGTCCAACAATACGTATGCATACATCTGGCGCTGCAATCATGAAGGCCAACAAACCTGACGTCACATGAGTTCTTGACTCTCAAAGCATGCATCACAAACCAAGCTGAAGGGTCAACCAACGTCCTTTCATGTGCTCATGGGCAACTCTCTGGATGCTGACAGTGAATGGTTCCTAGAAGCTTGACATCGCCTGCGTTGCAGGTTGCCAAGAATCAATGGCTTTCGGCCGCCGCATGTCCAGCACCCTCCACTTAGCTCAAAGTGAAGTCATGCTCCGCCACGCCTGCATATTGCCGTAGGGGTTCAATATTTTCTTGCCGATGTGGCGAAACCTTATTCGAAGCAAGACGAACTCTAGCTGCAATGAGACTGCATCACCACATATTTGCCATTGGCATCGTCCACCATAGATATGGACGAACCCAAAGTCCACCCCCCATCCCCCTCTCCACCCAAAAAGATGATTGGAAGCTTCATAGAAGGGATTTCTGGGGTAGGGGGGTCACAATGTCTATGTCTTTCTTGATTAGAGCTGAACAACAGAATGTCTGTGATCTCGTCAAACAGAGATCTTATCGTCATGCTCAGCATTAAGCATCTGACTCGCATTCGCGCCCAGTTCCCTCACCTGTCAGAATGTTGAAAGTGCACCTCAGGACATGGCAGCAAATGTTACGGCTTCCGGGCGAAATCATCCGACAGTCAATATCAGTTTCACACGACAGAAGAAGCCAAAATCAGTTTGCACTTGAGCCTGTGACTTCTCACGAAACTGCCTTGCCGCTTCTGACTGAGCGGACGCCTTCTCCTGAGTGTCAAGTCAAAACAGCTGCAAGGCAGGCAGGAGGGGGGAAAGGAAGGAAAGGGAAGGGAAGGCAAGCGGGGGTGTCGCGCGTGGTCAATGATTGAAATGCGTCTCAACGGGTAGATGTTTTCACAGTTGTGCAAGACTTCCTCAAGCAGGTACACCAAACTTGGCACAACCATGTTGTTGATTCCAACAACCAGAAATGAGGCAAGTTGACCTCAAGTAGCAGCACGCCAAAGCAGCCTTTGAAGGCATGGCATGCAGCATTTGTTTTTTTGCTTGCTTTTTTTTTTCTCTGGCGTGAAATCCCGCTCTCCTGGCGAGAGTGCTCACGCACCTGCAATGCGCAAATGTGGGTGTCGAGTGCAGGCCGTGCAACATGCCAGCAAGGCGGCTTCGTGTTCAAGCCGTGCTGCATCTTGTTGAATGTCTGCCCTCACATGAAAGCAATACCAGATTGACGGGCAAACTGGCACTTTGAGCAGCTGGGGTTCTTGCTGATGGCGGCGATGAAACCCCTGTCATGTCTGATGACAAAATAGATGTGTTCATGCGTGATCCTCAACTATCTCAGCCAAACATGTCCCCATCCTTGTGGAAGCGTGTCTCGTTGATGTTGGAGGCTGCTGCATAGTTGGCAGCCTCATCCACATACTCAATGGGAAGGTGCCTTGGCAAAGGAGCTCTCCGGTATCAAGCTGAGCTGTGCATCTCCGCAAGCTCTGCCAGGCTGACTGAGGCTTCAGAAAGTCATGCCTGATGTATTCCGGTGTGGCTGCCTCAGCTCAAGTTAGCAACGAAATAGGCTGCTCTATGCAATCGTGCAACATGCCAGCATTCCAGGAAAAACAAAATGCGAAGAGAAATGCAGCTTTAACCACAGGTTTGCACCTTCGGTGTCCCGTCCAAATTCAGCGGCTTTTTGTCAGCCCAAGCTTGCAAGCCATTTCCAACACGCTGCCGGTCGCTCCGTCACACAGTTTTCCGACGCCAAAAAGCAAGGCAGGTGACAATTGGACATTTGTATATCAGAATGTGACAGCAGTCACTGACTCAGGACTGCACATCGCATGTCACACTTTTCTTGGCACTTTTCTTAGTGCGCACATTCTCGAAGCGACCCAGAATGCCACCTGGCCACAGAGTCAAACGCCGTGAGACTGGAATCACATAGAAATGTTGAACAGCACATGCACAGAACCTCCTTGCGGAACCATCATATCGTCGCTCATGCTGCCGACTGCAATTGCTTGGTAGCCGTGTCCTCACACAATCGAATGAAATCTGATGTTTGGTTGGTTGGCTGATGCCATGAATCTGCTGTGAGCCAAACATGTTTCCCAGGCAAGCTGACTCTTCGCTTACGATTTGGCCATATTGACACCTTTCTGCATGCTTTCCACAAAAGTACGCATTGTCATGAAAACCATTTCCCCACCCTTCAGGCAGCCTCTCAACAATCGTCACACACTGAAATCCGGAGCGCGACCACCAGCATTGAGCAGCAATTGTGAACGCAAGCTGTGGAAATTTAGCTTGAGAGCACGCAATGCCATGTGTCGCGAGTTGTTGCCCTTCCAACCGTGTCAGTGGCCCCGCTTGTCCTAGAGCCTGGCAGCTCAACACCAAGGAGCCCAGTAAAGCAATTAGCCAATGCAGTCCAACTCCTTTCAGTTGTTCGATCTCTTTGAAGAGTATTGGACGCTGATTAAAAACAACAAAGAGGAATGAAGTCAGGACCACGTGGTTGAAGCCCCATACTGGCTAAGGTGCTACAAGGAGTATATAGATCTGGCACGAAGGATGCGAAGGATGGACTCTCTCACTGCGGACTTTCGCCTTCAAAGGTTCGCCAAATACCTGGAGCTGTGCGAGTTCAGCAGTTTCGACCGCGCTGTCCGCTGTCGGGCGAGGGTAGTATTTTGACACTTTGGGTAGCAAGGTTCAGCATGTTGGGCAGAAAATTATCATGCCTCTTGCCATAGGCCGCCCTGTATCGTTCTACACCATTCCAATCAAAACATAAGAAAAAAAAATAAAGGAAAAAACATGTATCGTTCTACACCATTCCAATCAAAACATAAAAAAAAAATGCACTTGCCGGAAATTTAGAGGTCTTTTTCTTGACTCGACCTTTCCCATTTGTGTCTTGTGATCGGCACATAGGTCCTGTGACCTCATGAACTCGTGAACGTTATTCCTGACGCACGTGGAAATGTCCATCGCATGTCAGGGTCAACGCTGCAACAGGGACCCAAATTTCAACACTGCCGTGTTTTGTTTTTTTCCCGAAAGCGTTAGCGAAGGGTTCTTTGGAAAAAACGGCTGCTGGTTGCACAGCTTCACATTCGCAGCCCAGCATTGCACAGCGATTGCACAGCGATTGCAGAGGCAGCGATGGCTTGCTTGCACAGCGGCTGCTCAGCCATTGCAAAGGCAGCGATGGCAGAGGTAGATGGGAGACATTGCGCAAGGACACTGCCTGAAGACATAGCCTGGAGACACTGCGAGATGACGTTGTCTGAAGACATAGCTTGGAAACACTGCGAGATGACGCTCTGAAGGCACACATAGCCGGCTTGTTAGATACGCGCGCGAGCAACCCAGCCTGCACTTCGCCGCCTATAATTCTATATTGTTTCTTAGCCGGGGGCAGGTTTGGCGGGCATCGGCGGGATGAACCCTCTGCGGTGTCGGATCGCTCTCGCTGTGGCACCGCGAATTTTCTACATCGCCGACGAACCCTCTGCGGGAATCGTGCGTGTCGGATCGCTCTCGCTGTGGCGCCGTGCGAATTTTCTACGTGGCCGACGAACCCTCTGCGGGGATCGTGCGCTCTCGCTGCGGGCGCCGTGCGAATTTGCACGCTGGCCGACGAACCCTCTGCGGGGATTGTGCGTGTCGGATCGCTCTCGCTGTGGCGCCGTGCGAATCTGCAACTTCGCTGACTTCGGGGATCGTGCATGTCGGATCGCTCTCGCTGCGGCGCCGTGCGAATCTGCAACTTCGCCGACGAACCCTCTGCGGGGATTGCGCGTGTCGGATCGCTCTCGCTGTTGCGCCGTGCGAATCTGCAACTTCGCCGACGAACCCTCTGCGGGGATCGTGCGTGTCGGATCGCTCTCGCTATGGCGCCGTGCGAATTTACAACTTCGCCGATGAACCCTTTACAGGGATCGCGCGCGTCGAAGCGCTCTCGCTGTGGCGCTGCTCTCTCTCGCTGTAGCGCTGCGCTCTCTCGCTGCGCTGTGCAATTGGTCGCCTGCAGGTTCTGCAGACGGATCAAGAGGTGAGTTGCCGCCTTTTGCAGTGTTTCCACCGAAACAGCCAGAGGCGATGTCATCCATGCACTGTTGTTTGCAATTGCTCGCCTGCAGGTTCTGCAGACGGATCAATAGGCGAGCAGGGCGCACGGGTTGCCGTGTCGCAAGCCAGCGCAAAACAGTCACGCCGCAACAGCGGGGAAGGAAAAAGCGCTCAGGCCTTCAGCGGGCAACATGTATGGATCTCTCGACTCATGCTTGACTGCAGCTCTCGAACTTCCAAGGTTTGCGGGCGAATGTTTCCAACAGTTGACCAGTGTCCGAAACACTGCTAAACGATACCCCCTTTCAACCTTTTGTCAGCTGACAAGGGGGCTGGCAACTTTGAGAAGTTTTAGGACACCTTTTTTTGAGAATCCAGTCTTGGAGCAAGGGGGTCATGTCGTGGATGTCGCTTGCGAGGGGACTGGCCACTAAACATTCAACCGCTCACTTCTGGGTAGCTGTTCATTTCAGCCATAAATAGAAAGACCAATCTTTTAAGAGCGGCTACAGCCGGGGTCTAGTTCCCAAAGCAGAAAATCATACACCAGAGGGTTGCAAAGCAAGTTGCACTAGGGAGTTGCATGAGAGATTGCTTGAGCAAGTTACACTAGCGAGTTGCATGAGAGATTGCTTGTGCGAGTTGCACAAGCAAGTTACATGAGATTGCTTGAGCAAGTTACGCAAGCAAGTTACACAAGATGATACACGCGAGGTTTTTTGTGATGTTTGGTTAGGGTAGTATAGTCAAGCGAATCAGCGCGTGAAAGAAACAAAATAAAGCTCGACAAGTCTAAATTACTCTGACAAGGCGACGGGCTTGCACCAACTTGTCGATCGGGAAATCAACCCTCTGCGCGGTTCGGGGTGGTGGATGTGAGGACATGTACTACTTTTGAACATTCCCGACCCTCTCTGTGTGGATCGGATTGAAAAACTGAGGCTTCTACTACCTTCTGCGGTCGCGGATCGACCCTCTGCGTGGATCGGCGCGGTCGATGTTAAAAAACTGAGCATTTTCTGCGGTCGAAGATGGACCGTCTGCGTGGATCACGCGCGTCGAAAGGCTCTCGCTGCGATCCGCGCAAATTCGGTTTACTGCGAAGATCGTGCGTGTCGAAGCTCTCGCTATGACGCCGTGCGATTTTCTTGCTCGCGACATGGCCGCTAGAAGTTGTCTCGCGCTTGCGCGCCTGCTTTTGCAATCCCGCGGCGGCAGGTTCGCGAAGTAAACTTTCGCAGCTCCGGCTGGAAAATCGCAACGTTTAGGCGCGAAGTACACTTTCGCAGCTCCGGCTGAAAATCGCAACTTGTAAGTACGCTGGAAATCCCAACTTTTAAGCGCAACAATAGAACATACTTTCGCAGCTCCGGCTGAAATCTCACATCTCCTAAGACTCTTAAGCAAACAAAAAAGCACGTGAAACAAAATTTGGCAGCTCCGGCTGGAAAATCGCAATCTTCCCTGATGCGCTTTGATTTTGAGCACTGTGCGGAGCCTGGCAATCAAGTCGGAATTAGGCGCATTGCGCCAGTTTCTAGACTCGCGTCCCTCAAGGATGCATTGGCATATGTTGACCAAGTTGACCGCGCACTGGCTATCCGAGAAAACACGACAAGTCGGAAAAGTTTCAAGGGCTGTTGTTACTGCTTCAAGTTCTGCGCGTGCTACGGTCTGAGAGCCTGACGTGGCAGCCTTAATCAACACTTTGAAACTGGGTGGTATAACGCGACGGTGGTGGAAGTCACGAATTTCTTGGGCTTTTTGGTGGGTCCCGCTGGCTAGAGACAGTACTAACGACCTGACAACCTGGCGTCAGAATTCTTTTCTGCCAAGCCCGAGCCATCAGTGTAGAGGTCTGGAACAAGGCCAGGTTGAAGGATGCTCCTGATCTGGTCTTGGGACATACCGAGCGGTCGTCCTGCATGGACACAAAAAAGGAACGTGTCAGCGTCCTCATGACGGTAGACCACTGGGCACCTCCAGAGAGGGCTGTCCTCGTCAATGCGTACACTTTCAAGGGCAGGGCACTCGAGAAAACCGTGCAGGAAAGTGTCGTCTGCTCCGCACAATTTGCACTTGCCTTCAATCCTGGAGTTTCGTCCCGTGCCGTTTTTTGGCCCTGGGGCCAGAAAAAAGAGGCCTCAGATCAAAAAACTGTACAGCCAAAAGCATAAAAAGTTTATGACAGTATCGTCAGCTGGGGCTTGCCGGCACACACCGGTAGACCACACGGCCTTGAGCCAAAAATCACAACCAATCGAGCGTACGAATTCAAACAAACAATAAACCAACAACCGGCAAACAAATTTAACCACGCAGCAGGCAATCAATCAAGCAACAGCAAAGCGAACAACGCAAAGCAAAGCAATAATGCAACGCAACGCAAGCAAAGCAAAGCAAGCAAGCAAGTTCAGCCAGCAATTGCTATCGAGAGCAAGCAAGCACGCAACTATAGGCAGGCGCGGGCAGTTATAAACAGGCAAACCCGTTGGGCAGACCAGCCAAAAAGCCCCAGACCCGTTGGGCGAACCAGTACTAAAAACTAGACGACGAGTGGCCCGGAAGCATAGAGGCAAGTTGATGCAGGTGAGGTAACTCTCGCAAAGTTAGCATGAGGAGTTGGCAGGCGAAGTAATTCTCAAAAAGTTGGCATGAGAAGCTGGCAGGTTAAGTAACTCTCGAATGGTTGGCTGGCAAAGTTGGCGGGTGAAGAAATTCTCGCAAAGTTGACATGAGAAGTTGGCAGGCGAAGTAACTCAAGAGAAAAGTTGGCATGAGAAGTTGGCAGGTGAAATAACTCTCAAAGAGTTGGCATGAGAAGTTGGCAGGTGAAGTAACTCTCGAAAAGTTGGCGTGAGAAGCTGGCAGGTGAAGTAATTCTCGAAAAGTTGGCACGAGAAGATGGCGCGTGAAGTAACTCTCGAAAAGTTGGCGTGAGAAGCCG